AACTCTAAACCAATCGACCCGCTGCCTAATCTCTCTTGCCCAGAAATCCCTCAACGTTTTCGCGATGTGCGGTTGCATGTTCTTGGGACGTTGCCGCGAGAAGGTCGGCTTGCGATTGAATCTGGGTCGAAATAAGTCATGAGTCATAACTCATAACGGTATCCTCCAGTCACTGCTTAACTATATAATGTAATTAGCACAAAATCTTTTCTGATTAGCAAGGCCGCTATGTCAGGTTTCCTGCCTTGCAAATCCATATGGGAGTTTCAGAAAATAGGGGACCCTAATATAGTACCCTAAATAATAGGATCCTTATTGTAAGGACCCCAAAATAAGGTACCCCCTAATATTCTGAAACATCCCCCTCCCTTGTTAAATGAGGGTTGTGGGTGACCCGGGTCATACTTTCATTTTATCTTCCTTCATTTTCCGGGGTTGGGGCAGGGTACCGTCATGATAGCGCCAGAAAATGAAGGAATTGTACCCTCGCGTATGAAATCTTCATTTTCCATGCAGGAATGAGAAAGACGGCAGACAGAGAGAGAGGGGATCCCCTGGCTGATTCTGCATATGCCCCAGATACCATCAGATTTCCAATCTTCTAGAGAAGATTGGTGTGCCTGGGATCGCTCGTACCCGCAGGCATTTTGCCTCATAGTGTGGTCACATGATGTCACATGGTCACATGCAGCAGTCCCTTGAATTGTATATTGTATTTCGTCAAGCCATAATTACGGCATAGGGGGACGTGGCAAGCCGCTTTTACGGCATTGGGCTTTAGCAGACACTACCCAAGCTAACATGTACGATTAAGCCATTATGACGGCACTTGGGGGATGTTGCAAGCCACCCTTTCGGCACTGGGTCTTAGCAGATATCACGTAAACTAGCATACTCGATTAAGCCATTATGACGGCACTTGGGGGATGTTGCAAGCCACCTTTTCGGCACTGGGTTTTAGCACGCATCATCTAAATTAACACATTGGGACAGCAGCACATCACGACATGACCGGATGGCGAATCCTGTACAAAACCCGGTTGACCTCCGGTGGGGATTGTTGGGCCCTCGGTTCGCGGAGCTATCGTTACGTATCTGCTTGTATGCCTGTGTGTGCCTGCTGAGTTTACTACAAGTACATTGACGGTGCTGGCAAAAGCTCGCCGAAGTTCGACAGCCTTACGAAGGATCGTCGTGTGCTCTGGTTCTTCTGGTGTGCGTTTCCTCGGATGCAGGCAGGAAAGTGGTCTTTGGATCGTGGATTCCCTGGCGCCTGGCACTTATGTTCGTTGTGGTTCTCGGCTATGTAGCGGTTTACGGGTCTCTGAGGTTCCGGTGGAGTTCCGTGCGATGGCAAAGCAGCAGCCGGATGAGTGGTTCGTGGGTCCCTAAGTTTGCAGGCGTTTGGAAAGTTCTTTTTTTTTGGTGTCGTGCGACAGGTCTGTGAAGCACCACAGGCGATCGAGGCCAGATGGGAGCTCCTTTGCGGGGTTTGGGTGTTTCGGGCTTCTGGCGGTTTCGCTTGCTCGTCGTTTTTGCTGCCAGCAGGTTGCGGCTCCATCGGCGACCCAAAGTGATGCACTTCAGGCCAGCCCATCCTTTGCCGGGGTTCGCACCCACCATGGAAACAAACATGTGGACCATTGGCGGATGAGGCTGCGACTTTCAATGCCGATGGGCAGGCCTGGTGACTCAGAGCGGCTTTGGGTTTTAAGTTTGATTTGGGCTCGTCGGAGGCTTCTTCTTCCTCAGCTTTGGTGCCCACTGTCCGAGCCTGAGCTCCTGGGATGATTGGTCTGGCTTAGCTTTCGAGCCTTTTGGTGGTAGAACTAGGATCCACTGAGTGCTTATGATCCGGACCTGGGCTGACCATGCGTTGCTGGCTTCTATGCAGGCTAATGGCAGACAGCCTCAGCATCCACTTCCAGAGGCCCGCGAGGGGTTGGAACTCCGGTGGCTTGGGTTTTATTAGTTGTGTCGACTTTGGGTGCGCCTGGTTCTGGTGTTGTCTGAATGCAGATTTAAGCAACCCACCAATCATTTGGGAAAAGTATGAGTAACAAGCCATGGAAACTAGAACACATCGGCCTGCCAGGATCCAGATGGTAGCCAGAAGCCGGCGGAAGCTGAGGTGCGCCCGGGGTGAAGGAGTTCGGGGCTTCGTGGTTAGGGTTCCGAATGGTGTCCTTCTTTCTGTGGCGACTGTAGTGCTGTGCAGATCAATTGACTGTCAGCAGGAACCGCGGTTGCTGCGCGTGTTGCAGGTGTGGACCAAGTTTGCTTGATCGTGAGTATGGGGCCTTGAAACTTCATGGCATAACATGGCCTATCAATCCTCTAGGTTTGAGAACCAGAAACATATTCAGGATATCTAGATCCTCCTTTCGCACACGTGCTCCGCCATAGCCCACTGCACCCTTTGCTGGACCTTTGCGAGCTGGCTGACTGTTGGCTTTGTTATTCACTGCTGGGGTTTGGTGGGAAACCTGGTTGGTACGTGGTCACAGCATTCACAGCCCACTGCATATAAAGCTGGACCTGGCGAGCTGGCTGACTTTTTATTCTGACCTGGTTGGGCACTTACCTGGCTAGTGCTGGCGGAGATCCAGCAGCCCGGGGACTTACCTGGCTAGTGCTGGCCTCTGCCATGGACCAACGGTGGGTGGTGGGTCCGTTGCGAGAGGTTCCCGGGCGGTACGAGGTGTGGCAGCTGATCAACGGCATCGAGGTTTGCAGCTTCGGCATGCCTGTGGATGCCAGTCTCAGGAGTGGCCGGCCTTACACATTGCAAGTTTTTTTTTGCATGGATTGGTTTAGGTGTGCGCAGTAAGCACTCTGTATGCCTGCAAACGAACATCCCAGGTCTCGTCGCGGAGGCCGTGCGTCCGGGCTGTGATCGCCGGGTGCTCCGTGCGACTGCCATAGCCGTCGCGGTGGAGGAGACAGGCGAGGTGTGGCCGGAGAGCGATGAGGACGACAAGAAGAAGGACGACGACACCGACCCAGATGATGACAAGAGGAAGGACGATGACAGCGATGACAGCGATGATCCCCCGGCCAAGAGGCTTAAGCTGGACGATGACAGGAAGAAAGATGACGACAAGACGGCCGAATCTCGCATGAGCCAGATGGAGTCCAGATTGGGGCTGCTGGAGTGTCAGGTGGCTCGGCTTCTGGAAGATGTCAAGAACAAGGACGATGAGTCCGTGAAGAAAGACGACGACAAGAAGAAGGACGATGACAGGCAGAAAGACGACAAGAAGACGGCCGAATCGGCCGATGATGCAAGGATGACCGACATGACCGACCTCCAGACCCAGATGATCTGTCTCCAAAGACAGATGGACTTTATCGGGGATTTGCTGGACAAGCGAGGCTGAGAGGCTCACAGACACCACCAGACACCATAGCAGTAGCAGCATAACGGAGGCGGCGCACACACACACACACAGACACAGACCGTAGCAGCAGCACTCGGAGGCGGCACACATAAGCAGCACTCGGAGGCGGCACACATAACACACACACACACACACACACACCATAACTGCAGCATCTAGGCGGCAAACAACCAGCACACACCATAGCTGCAGTTTCACGATTGCCAGGGCTGTGTGAGCTTGAAACATAGCATAAGCGTAGCACACACTACAATCACTACCGCTTCACGGCGTATCGCAGCCCGGCGCTTGCTGAGGGGTGAGGTTCCTGCGTTTTTTTTAAATCGTGTGCTGAGAACATTGGTTGTGCGTGCTTGGTTCCCCCCTCCTGGTTTGGGGTTTCCTTGACACCTCAACCCCTTCAAGCTTCTGGGAGTTCAGGGCACCCCAACCCATTAGGCCCCGTGGTAGGAGTGCCTTGCGTGAAGCACCCAAACCCCGAGCCCCCAAACTTCCGAAACCCCCCCCCCTTGCCCCCCCCCCCCCCCCAAGCCGAAGCCCTTTCTTCGTCGCTCTGCATCGGCTGTGTGTGCTTGGTTTCTCCGCCCTGCTGCAGGTCATCAGTGCTGAAGCCATGGTATCCTCGGCCTGGACCCCTGTGTTCGAGCTCGTGCGGCTTCGGGGTAGGTTGCTGGGGTTCTGGTGATTGGGGGTTTCCGGTGGTTCCTTTATGCCGTTTCCGGCTGAAGCCCTCACCCCACCCGAACCCTGAAGCCTATGCTGCCTCGTCGATTGGCACCCCGGCCCCTTGCTGTGCTCTTCTCTGAGGATCCAATAGCCACGAGGGGCGATGATATGCCCCTGGTGCCGGCTGCCTGGACCTTGGACTTCAGCTTCCTTCGCTGCAACTCAGCTACTCGTGTACCACGCCAGGCGCCGCTTTCCGATGGTTCCGATGCTGCTGGGCCCTTGAAACCCCTTCGAGTTCTGGGTCTGCGGCTTTGGTTTCTGCTTGTTGCTCTGCCTTAGGTTCCTGGTGTGAGCTCCATGCCAACATCGGCCGAGGTTGGACCTTCCGGATTCCTTGCTAGGTCCAGGGTTGCTGAGGTCTTTGCTTGTGTGCTCGCCTTTGTTGCTCCGTCGATTGGTGCCCCTTGCTGTGCTCTTCTCTGAGGATCCAACATCCACGAATGGCGATGATGTGCCCCTGGCCTGAACCTCGACTGCCTTCACTGGTCTTCCTAAATGTTTTCTTGCCTTGAGTTAAGGTTCCTGATCAGACTGAGCAGGCAGCGGGTGCGAGTTCGCAGCCACCATCAGGGACTTGGTTTGCTGGCTAGATGTCAGGTCGGAAGTGCTTCCCCTGACCAGTGGCCATTGGCCCGAGCCTTGGGTTCCCTCGTGTCCACGGTTTGCTGGGCTTGATGCGATCACATCCCCATGCTCACAGGTTCCAGATCGTGTGGCAGAGCCTGCGGCCGGGGCTTTAGCGAGCATAGGCAGTCTTCATTTCTGCGAAGCCGCTGACTTGGGGACAAGTGTAGGCATGCCTTGAGCTGGCACATGTGGCTCTTTGCAGCATTGCATCCAAGCTTCCGGGCAGTGATAGACAGTCCCAGCATGGCTAGCTCCAACACGGATGCTCCTCAAGAAGTGATCACGTGGAGTCCCCTGAATCTGTTGACCCCTCCGGGCAGGATCCTCAAGAAGCCAGTGCTGACAGACTCGCCATTGCCTCCGGGTATTCACACCTGGAGTCCCATCTGTGAAGAAACGACAATCCCATGGGGGACGTCAAGCCTGCTTCGGAAACCATGGAATCCTGCGAAGGAGTCGGCGGAGGGATCAGATGCGACATCTGCGACAAGCACTTCGGAGCATGCGAAGACTGCGACTGACACTATGTCTTGTGGCCAGAGATCCCAGTTGGTGACCGATGTGAACGCCAATGTCCTCGCAAGGCCATGTGCTGCCGGAACACAGAAGCTGGATGCCAATGTGATAGTGAAGACTCCTCCTCGTGCTTCTCGCTCGGCGCCATACACACCGCCGCATAAGTCAACACGGCCTGTGCGGAAGTCCAGCTGAGACAGATGGCCCACTGCGTGTGCAGGCTTTCAGGAATCTTTTCTGACAAGATCCTAGGTAGTTCCAGTAGTCAGCGGTCGAGTGCGGAAGCTTGGGGATCAGCTCGTGCGAGAGGCCGCGAATAAGACAAGACCGCTCGCTATGCAGGGCCTGGGAACTTCCAACATCCTCCAACCCAAGCATGTCACCATGATGCCAAGGCGGCCATGCTGTCCTTGCTGGAACCTCCTGCAAGAACCTGAGTCGTGGGGGGGCTAGGAAAACCCGAAACTCCTTGAACCCACAACCCTTCAGGTGCCTGCTTTGACGAACAACCAAGCAGCACCTTCATCTCCGGAGGTCGGGGTCGAAGTGCATCCAGGGCTCTGTGTGTGTGTGTGTGGTCATCTGCTGTGCAGGAGTCTACCTCGTCGTCTGATGCGGCATCAGTTGCAGCTGTCCAACCTGTTCCCCCTCTCATGGCCGATTGCTCGGAACCGTTGTCCGGTAGTGGGTATGTGACTGGCTTGGTCTTGAGGCAACTGACATATCGCAGCCGGAGCCTGGAGGAGATGCGACGAAGGAAGAGGCGAAGGTGGGTCCCGCATCCTTGGATCTGTGATCATACTTCTGGGTGCTCTATGTAAGTACACCTTACTAATCCATAGAGTACGGGTGTTTGGGTCGGACATATGAACAGGCACAACCCGTCAAGCTGGAGCCCGCCGTGGGCTCCTTAAGTTTCGTGCAGCCTGTTGTCTCGCAGGATCTTTACTGTTTGTGTGCTGCTGGGTCCGATGCAGGTCCCAGTCGCTCCATGTGCGACAGAGACCTGTGATGGGACAGAGGTACCCTTGGTGTAGTGCCGACTGTGTGTCTGAGTGTGCAGAACAGTATGGCTCCTGCAATCCGACCTGGAGGCCGAAGCTGGCGAGGACACGAAGAAGGACGAGGTGATTGAAACGGGGCCATCCGCGGAGGAGGCCTCTTCAGCGGTGGGGTCACGGATCCGGCTGGCATGATTCATGGCCTTGGTCGCGAGGCAGACGAAGAATCGAAGTGGAGTGTGCCGGTGGAGGCACAGGATTGTCGAGCTTTGTTCCATCGGAACGAAGCGATCAAATCAGAGCTCTCGTCCAGGGAGAAGCCATCAAGCCAGAGATCACATGGCCTCGGGCCGCGATCCCGGTCGGGAAGAAATGGAGATTTGAGGGGTTAGGGTGTGAAGAATCCTGCATGGGCCGAGGGTTCCGGGCACGCGGCAACTTGAAATCTTCATTTTCTAGTTGCTAGAGTAGGTACCGGACAGTGTCGGCGAAATGAAGTTTTCCGGGGTGAGGGTGTGGGATAACCTGCATGGGGCCGAGGGTTCCGGGCACGCGGCACCCAGAAACCTTCATTTTCCTGCCTGCTGAGTAGGCACAGGGCAGCACTTGCAGTGTGTAGCAGTGTGTGGGACGACGGCAGACGACGAGGATTCCTAGCAACATCTTGCAATGCTCCTGGTATCTGCTGGCAATGCCGACCGGTTCCCGTGGCGGGTAAAATGAAGTTTTCCGGGGTGAGGGTGTGGGATAACCTGCATGGGGCCGAGGGTTCCGGGCACGCGGCACCCAGAAACCTTCATTTTCCTGCCTGCTAGAGTAGGCACAGGGCAGTACTTGCTGTGTGTAGCAGTAGTGTCTGGGACGACAATGCCGACCGGTTCCCGTGGCGGGTAAAATGAAGATTTCCGGGGTGAGGGTGTGGGAAAACCTGCACGGGGCCGAGGGTTCCGGGCACGCGGCACCCAGAAACCTTCATTTTCCTGCCTGCTAGAGTAGGCACAGGGCAGCACTTGCAGTGTGTAGCAGTGTGTGGGACGACGGCAGACGACGAGGATTCCTAGCAACATCTTGCAATGCTCCTGGTATCTGCTGGCAATGCCGACATATGCCGACCGGTTCCCGTGGCGGGTAAAATGAAGTTTTCCGGGGTGAGGGTGTGGGATAACCTGCATGGGGCCGAGGGTTCCGGGCACGCGGCACCCAGAAACCTTCATTTTCCTGCCTGCTAGAGTAGGCACAGGGCAGTACTTGCTGTGTGTAGCAGTAGTGTGTGGGACGACGGCAGACGATAATGCCGACCGGTTCCCGTGGCGGGTAAAATGAAGATTTACGGGGTGAGGGTGTGGGAAAACCTGCACGGGGCCGAGGGTTCCGGGCACGCGGCACCCCGAAACCTTCATTTTCCGGTATGTGGGTACAGGGTCCGAGGCAGGAGGCATTGGCAGTAAAATGAAGATTTGCCGGGCGAGGGTGTTGCGAAACCGTGCCAGGGCCAGGGATTCCGGGGACGCGGCCCCCCGAAACCTTCACTTTCCCACTTAGGCCTTGCCATCTTCGATCCGGAGCCCATGGGAGGCTTTCCGAGACGAGGCATTGGCAACTTTGGCTGCTGCAAAACAGATCGAGGAAGCCCAGCTTGCAGCCTTGTCGGAGAGCGACGCCTTTGTGTACTTGTATACTGCGTTGCCTCCACATATACAGTATCCCTTTGTCGTGCAAGCTGTGAACGAGGCAGCTGCCTTCGTATATTATCATGCGATACAGACAGAGGTCAAGAAGCCAGTGGCATGGGAGCAGCTGAGTGCCGAGCAGCGGCAAGAGATGACACCCCCGTTTCCGCATGAGTATGTCCGGTCGGGCACTGCTTGGCACAGTCTGCTGCCTAGTTCCTCGCTGCGTTTGTACTTGGAGGGCCCGCCGTCGGAGGCCAGGGCCTTGGATCTTGAAGCCTTGGACGAGGAAGCCGTGAACCTCTTGCAAGCTTTAGTGCAGCATGCCCCCACCCTGTTTGGAATGGCCCTCCCAGCATTACAGACAGCCCTCAGCACGGTCAAGACGGAGTCAGCAGAGCCGGGCCCAGTGAAGCAGGAGCTGTGCCAAGCTCTAGATGTGGAAACCTGCGAAAGCATAGAGCAGTCGCTGCTGGAGCCCTATCCACATGATCCGCCGAAGCTAGGAGTTCAGTTGCATTGGGGAAGTGTGCTTCATGGGCTCGTCCGCCAGGCGAGGGACTTGCATGGGAAAGTGTGGCCACGCGAAATCGTGATCCTGTGTGCCTCCAATGCTGACAGTCTGGAGCTTCTGTCATTGCAACAGTCTGCTTCTGTCCTGATCGTTGTTTTGTCTACCAGCTCACACTGGGCGGTGTGCTTCGGCCGAAGGGGCCAAAAGGAGATCTTGCTGTGCGATGGTTTGCAAGACAGCGGGATCGTGCATGAGTGCCAGGCTTTCTTACTGCATTTGTCATCTCACTGGCCCGGTAGCTTCGAGATCAAGAAAGTGCCAGGGGTCCCACAAAAGGACGCCTGGAGCTGTGGGCACAGAGTGCTCGTGAACACCGCTGCCTTCCTGCAGCGGCATACCCGTGACGAGTGGCCCCCACTTATCCCCTTGTGGACAGCACGTGACAAAGCCCTTCAAGAGCTGTGCGAGGGCTCTGCATCCTCAGGCGGCACAAGTGGCTCTTCGAGCAAGGGGAGCAACGGTCTCAAGCGGGACCATACTGGCGAGTCTGACTCAAGCAATGCAGCTGCAAAGGCCTCTGCCAAGAAGCCTGCCTCGGCACTTTCATCTACCCCAGCTCCAAGCCCGGCATCCTTGTCGAAGCCTGTCAAGAACGAGGTCCAGGGCGAGCAAGCTTCATCTACCCTCCCTTGCCGAAGCCCATCAAGAACGAGGTCGATGGTCAGGAGCCCGTCACTCCTAGAGCTAAGAAGCTCAAGACTGGCCAGGGTCAGGCCGAGCTGGAAGCGGAGGCTGCGAATAAACCGCCAGCGCCCAAGCGGCGCAAGCTGTCGGAGGCACAGAAGCGAGAGGGCTGGCGGCAGGAAGGGCTGAGCATCTGCCGGCAGCATGGTGTCAACTATCAGCACACGTTCCAAAAGGTTCACACAGAGCTGAAGGCCCACTTACCTGCCAACCACTGGCCTGAGTTCCTGATCGATTTGGGCAAAAACGTTGGCCACATGAAATGCCATGCCTGCCGTGCCCTCCGACGTCGCATGCTGACCGAAGGGGACGCTGTCTGCCCAGCGATCCAGGACAAGGCCGAAGCTGCCCCAGCGATCCAAGACAAGGCCGAAGTGCAGATCAGCACGGGCCGGGGCCGTCCACCTGGTGGATCCGTGGCAGCCTCGTTGATGACGTGGTTGGACCCGGAAAGGCCAGGGATGTACAGACAGATCAAGGGTACTCTCTTCTGGTGTTACGTCTGCAAGGCCGAGTTCAACTTTCAGAGGCTAGCCCTATCAGGAAAGAGATTTGTCTTGGATCACGAAGCAACCAAGCGACACCGAGCCGGTCTCAGCCAGCAAGCTTTGGCGCCATCGGCCAAGCCCAGCCTGTGTCCGGGAGTCAGGATCGGTGCATCCGTGTCCTCCTTCGACAATGTGCAAAGGTCCTGCGAGCTGTGGTTTCAGAGTGGTCAGCTGCGATGCAAGGTCGCGGAAGGCAGCCAGCAGCCATTCGACGTGGCAGTGCTTTCCTACGAGAATGACCAGCTCCTGCTCAAGCACAAAGGTTGCAGTGGCACTCACGTGAAAGACCAGTGTTGCAGCCAGTGCCACCGACTGGGCGAGAGCAAAGAGCTGCAGCAGGAGGTTGCACGATGGGGCATGCGCTTGAGCCTGCTCAACCATGCCAGAGCCCTGGCATTGGGTGTGACAGAAGAGCGGGAGGAGACCCAGGCGGCACTGGTGACGGGGGACTTCATGCGGTTCGCTCCACTCAAGAAGGAAGTGAATGCACTCCTCGCCGTGGAGCAGGAGGAGGCTAGGCTGGTGTTGATCAAGCGAAAGCTAGACTCGATCAACAAATCGGTCCGCACCGAACGCCTAGATCAATGGCTCCGCGATTGTGTCGTGAAGCTCAGCTTCAACAAGGCCGGGGAGAACGAACGGAGAGCCTATAGCGTCCTCAGCAATCAGTTCTGTGAAAAGATCCGGAGCGGCGAAGTGTCGACGAAGGACCTTAGCCTCGCGGCCCGTGTGGCCAGTGGGGAACTGAGCTCTTGCAAACTGGTCAGCTGCTTGGTTCATTCTTTCTTCTCGATGCGTGACCGCATGAGTCGCGGTTGCAAAGACCGGCTGTGTTCAGGGAAAGAGCTCGACGAGGAAACAGTGACCGAGATCGCCGTGACTCTAGGGTTGGACGGCAAGTGCAAAACTTTGCTCCGAAGCTTCGGTGTATCGCTGGGTAAAAAGGCTTCTGTGGATTATACCTCGGACACATTGCCCCAGTTTTTCATCGCACACGAGTCCATGGAACGGCTCACCAGGAACGCCGAAACTGCAATCCAGCTTCTGCAAGCAGAGTCCTCAAGAAGCTTCTTTCTCGCAATTGACGAGACCTGCTGGAAGCCCAGCTATTCTGCCGTAGCTGGACTGCGAGACCCGATGCAGGCCGTCATCATCGGCGGCCAGTTCGACTCTGCTGACAATTGGAGCATCCTCGAAAGCACCGAGAACCTCCCGGAGTCAAAGCAAGCCCACCTGAGCCTCCATTTCCTCTTGTGTCGCAGTGACCAGATTCAAAAGTCGTACTGCATCTCCATGCTTCCCATGCCGCACAACTCCGGTACCAAAGCTCCTCTGGTGCTTGAGTATGCCGGTCAGGCTTTGCAGGCTACGGCAGATGCCAATGGCGTGCCGGCCATCGGAGTGGCCGTGGACGGCGGCAGCTCGAACTCTCATCTGCTCAAGGCCACATTGGGGCTCTTGTCTCAGGATGAGCTGTCCCAGGCCACCTTCTTTGCAGACTGTTCCGTGCAGCCGATGCCGGCAAAGATCAAGTTTTGGCCATTTCGGTCCTTGCTGTGGAAGGGAAAACACCAGGTCCTGGGGTCCTTGGACTGCATCCATGGCCTGAAACGATACACCACCAAACACTTCAGTGGAACCCGAACTGTTCATTACGGGAGTTCTGCCATGATCCCATCCACGTTACTGCTGGGTGGCATTCCCTACAAGTGCTACGTCGGCTATGATGCCCAGAGCGACAAGGAGTGCTTCAGCAGGCTCAACCCCACCTACATCCCCGCACAGCCCCACACGTGGGGTGTCTGGGTCTACCAGCTCATTGGCTCCTTAGCGAGCTTTGGTTGGGAAGGGTCACACAAGATGTCGGCGCACGACCGCTTCAGCGATTCCTGCCTCGGGTATTACCTCCTCTTGATCTTCTTCTTCCTCGCCAAGCAGCGCTTCCCGGACACCTGGTCTCAGCATTGGCTCCCCATACAAACGACGAGGAACCTCGCTTTTGTATGTGCCTTGGGTATGGTCTTAGCAATGCCACGGGAGGACAAGGAGACGGAGGTTCTCGGCGATTGTTTTGCCGAGAAAACGGTCGAGCACCACTTCAGTGCCATAAAGTCACACTGCCGAGGCCGACCAAGCCTCCGAGACGGTGTGACAGGCACTCAGAAGGTGCACATGGCCCATGCTGGCAAACCGCTACTGCTCAAGAAGCCGGAGGACACAGGGCCTGCTCTGACCCACCAGGTGGCCACTACCTTGGCCGCCTCCGCATGGGAGCACAGCCTTCGCTTCGTCACTTGGGTGGAGCCCGGACTGAACTCCTGCGAGCTGCAGGAGAGCTTCCAGCTTTGGTGGGCATCCGAAGGGCTGGGTATCTTCAGCATGAACAAGAACCACCAATTCCAGGATGACGAGTCTGAGGAGGAGGACGAGGAAGTGTTGGATGGCGATTCCAAGGAGGCCGCCCCCGATAAGGACCTGGAAACCTTGCAATCCATCGAGGACCACATCGCCGCAAAGGCTGCGATGTCTGCAGTGGTGGAGGCCGTGCCGGGCGACGTCGTCTCGGACGAAGCCGACTCTGCTGCTCAGGAGTCGGCTGTGGGTAGCAGGTGCTTCATGTACGAGCTGAAGAAGTGCTGTGACACAGAGGTCTTCGAGGGCACCGATTCGAGCATTGATGCTTGCCTGAAGCGCCAGCAGCGCCTGATCCCCTTGATCAAGGCCTATGTCACACAGACCCGCAAGCGTGAGGGGTTCATTTCAGTGGGAGGCCCCAAGTTGGACAGCCCATGGCACAGAATGGAGCACGAGCTAGCTTTGGCCAGAGCTGCATCCCTTCATGACGGCACCCGAATGTCGCGGGCATCACAGTGGCGAGCAGTGCAGAGCAAGGTGGAGCATGCAGTTTCCACTGACAGTGCAGAGGAAGGCGGGCCCATCCGGGCGATCACACACTACCGGCCCGAGCAAAACGACAGCAGGCAGACGGTTGTCTTGAGGCTAGAGGGCTGTGACAAGCTCCAGGTTGGCATCGTCAGGGCTGTGTTCAGGGGCTCGGTCACCAAGAAATCCGGCGAGACCACCCGCAAAATGCGAACGGCCAAACTTTCTGTGCATCCTCTGCCTGCGAGCTCCTGCTCCCGCATCCTGGTGCAGCATCTTGTGCGGTACGGTGAGCATTCCTACTACCTGACCGGCGTGAGCCAAACCTTCCTCGTGGACCCCGTGCAGCACGTCGTGGGAGAGGTGCAGATTTCCCAGTGCCTGGAGAAAGAGACTCGCATCGTGTGCACCCTCTCGAAGGAGACTGTAGCTGCCATCGCAAAGCTCGAAGCCGAGCCGGATTTGCTGCAGCAGATGCCCCTGCCGAACATCCCCGTGCCGGAGCCCGCGGTGGGCGAGATCAAGACCGAGCAGAAGATCTACACCTTTCAGGACTTCTCTCGCACCATTGCGGGAACGAAGGCCATCGAAGGATGGATGCGGGAGCTGCCACAAATGTACGAGACCGCCGGTATCGAGCTGCTGAAGGAGGGGAAAATCCGTGTGAAAATGCCTGGAGGGCAGGACAAGGACTTCGCCTGGGAATCGATCGTGCTTCGCACGGCAGATGCCTTTGATCTCATGCTGGACAAACTGAGCGGGAAGAAATATGGAAAAACTATCTTGCAGAAATTCCTCGACCTGCTCCCGGACACCAGTGACAAAAAAAAATGCGTGAACCAGGTGCGAATGTTCGTGGCTCACGTCGACAAGACTGCAGCCCCTGTGCGCCGGCCTCAACCAAACAAAACAGAGACTCGTGCCATCCCGTGCAGTTCAACTGCTGACAAGGTTGATGTCTGCGTGAGCATCAACCGTGCGAAGCTCGGCTTGCGTCGCATCACAGTTGGGGCGTGCTGACTCGTAGTGCCCCTGTGTCGAGGTCGAGCTGCGAAGAAGTTTCACCGCTTGGAGACGTGCCGGGCTCAAAACATGCTTCAACCTTGTGCCTTCAAAGCTGAGATGTGCTCACCTCGCCCAGGTCGGGGCGGCGTAGCGGCACAGCTTGGGGAGACGACGCGATGCCGTGCGCAATGAGAAAACAAGAGTGGGCGAGCACGCTGCAAGTGTCCCGAGTGAGATTGCGAGAGTGAGTGAGCGAACAACTGCATACCCCCACATAATAACCCGAACCATTGAAATCTTCATTTTCCATCTAGGCCCCTTGGGGCCAGGAAGGGCCGGGTGGGACACCCAGGGTCTCCATCTCATCATGAGCCCCCGCTGTATCCCCATAGGGTGACCCGAGAAATTGAAATCTTCATTTTCCGTCGTCACCCAGGGTTAAGACATGGGGGATTCTGAAACTCCCATATGAAGGGGTCTTGACGTCTTTGAGCAGGCTAAGGCTCCAACACGGACTCTTTCAGCATTGCCTAAAGCCCGACAGACCTGGAGTAAGCTAGAAGCCTCAATCATGACCAAGGCTATTCCTTAAAGCTCCTTCATATCTGTATACGATTAAAGAATATACACCAAAACCGTACTCTGTTCTAGTGTTTAAGACCCCCTGTATGGGAGTTTCCGAAAATACGGGACCCCAATATAGCACCCTAAGTAGTAGGATCCTTATTTAGAAGGACCCCCAAAATAAGGCACCTGCAACATTTTCGGAAACTCTAAACCCTTATAAAGCCCTGTAAAGGAACCCTTATAGTACCCCTAAACCCTAAACCCTAAACCCTAAACCCTAAACCTTAAACCCTGAACCCTAAACCCTAAACCTTAAACCGACCCTTATAGTAACCCTTGAAAGGAACCCCAGGTAGACTTGGACGCTTCAGGCCCATCTCGCTTTTCCCGGTTTCTGGAGAAAGGCAGTCCCGGTAGCCCTCCCGCAGGTAGCCAAAAGGGTTTAGGGTTTAGGCTTTAGGGAAAAACCCTGTATGAGGGTTTGCAGGTCTCAGTTTTTGAGGTGAAGTTTAAAGTTTAGGGTCAAGGGTTGGTTAAGCACGCTTGAATTAAAGACAACAGCCCTGAACCCCAAAACCTAATTCGACAAGTCTAAGTCCCATAACCTCTAAACGCCCAGAAAAATTAACATTGTAACCCGTGAGCCCAAAACCCTAAACCCTGAACCCCAAACTCAAACGCACCCTCAAGGATCCCCAAAAAGAGCCCGCTCTGAGGTTTGCATTCTCGCCTACGGCGCCACTGGCAGCGGGAAGACCCACACGGTCACGCCGCTCGGCGATGCCCTACATCAGCCGACAGTGGTGACAGCTACTACTCCTCTACATCACGAGTTGCTACATACCGTAATGTTTGAGCTAGAGAGTGTGTGTGTTTGTGTGTGTGTGGGCGTGTGTTTGTGTGTGTGTGTGTGTGTCTGTGTGTCTGTGTGTCTGTGTGTCTGTGTGTCTGTGTGTCTGTGTGTGTGCGCGTGTGTGTGTGCGTGTGTGCGTGTGTGGGTGCGTGGGTGCGTGGGTGCGTGGGTGAATGGGTGCGTGGGTGCGTGGGTGCGTGGGTGCGTGTGTGCGTGTGTGCGTGTGTGCGTGTGTGCGTGTGTGCGTGTGTGGGTGTGTGGGTGTGTGTGTGTGTGTGTGTGTGTGTGTGTGTGTGTGTGTGTGTGTGTGTGTCTGTGTGCGTGCAACTCCTGTGCCTAAGGAACTAAAGTAGCTTGGCTGCGTTCTAGTTTCACAAGCAGGGGAGTGGTGCATGCTGTTGGAGTCACCACTCAACGAAGACGCTCCTTCAGTATGGTGATATGGAATCGGGACGCCGGTTTCCACGTACCTGCAAAGGCCCACCGAATTTACCCTCAAGAAGCTGTTGTTTCATAGTCGGCCAAAGCAGCGTGAAGTGACGATGACGAAAAGAATAGAATAGACAAAAGAGAGTGTAGCAAACAGCATCCACCTAGGTAAGGATGATTGGTCAGCAACTCTGTGTGTGTGTGTATACGCTTACAAGCATACACATGCATATAACGAAATATCATTTATATAATATGTATAGTGAGATGTTTGTCATACATAGAGTAGTCAACAACCACGAGGTGCAAACTATGGCAGCGCATGTATGTATATATGTGTACATGCATATATGTACATATGAAGAGTTGTATTATATAGGTGTGTATTAATATAATATACACATACGAGATACCGACACACATACATACATACCAACATACATACATAAAGACATATGTACATACGTACATACATACATACATGTGTATATACACATAATTGGATATAGTTGTATATAATCATGTTTACAGGCATGTATGTATGTATGTATGTATATATATATACACACACACACCTACCCTACACCGTGGGCTCTCTAGATTTCTGTAGTACGGGCCCAGGAACTTGGCGCAGCGTGCGGCCCAAGAGCTCGAACGCCAGGTCTGCGTCGAAGTTTTGGGGCCTTTGGGGTGTCCATAGGCCTTCCTTGGTTTTGTGTTCGGGTTTTGTCTGGTAAATTTCAAGAGTTGTCGTATTTATTTATGTTTTCCTTTAAGGGTTCCAGAAGGGTTCGACAAGGGGTTTGGGGCTTTGGGTCGTTGGGTTCTTGGGTGTAGGCTTTTGGGATTTGTGTTTTAGTTTCTGGGGCGTTGTAGGATTCCAGGGTTTTGAGTTCTCAGGTTCTGCCATACTGGAGCTTTGTGTGGTTGGGGCTCCTAGGTTTTAGGGTTTGGGTGTTTTTAGTGGTCGGGAAGTTTTAGAGTTAGGGGGTTCGAGGTCTCAGGTTTGGGTCACATGGCAAAGGGTTGGAGACAGGTTTAGGGTTCATGGATTAGACTGCAAGGCTTCTGGCGTCTCGAGTTTACGGATAAGGGTGCAGGGATGTCGAGGGCACAGGGCCTATGGTTTAGCCGAAAAGCTATAGGGCTCACAAAGTTTGGCGTTCAGCGAAGCAGATTTGGGCGCACATCGAGCCAGCAACAATATTAGGTAAAGCGCGCGCTCTGCACAGCACTGCTGATACCAGACTATTGTAGCACCAAAGCAAATTTTGCTCATATTGAAAATCAGCTGTGGAGCTGCTGGCGCGAGCCTGAGCGGCCTGGTGCAGGTATCCATAGAGTACAAGAGCACGTGTTGTTAGGCGGTGTTACTGCAATGCCTGGGAGAGAAGCATGTGCTGTAAGGTAGTCGTACTGCAGCTCAGGGAAGAAGCCCGAGCAAGAGCATGTTCACAGCACGTATTGAGCGAGGATGCTGACCACAGTAGAAGCCCAAAAGTTGGAAACCCAATAGCCTCAGTCCTTAAGAGTAATGTAAGGGAATCCCAGCAATATTTGGCCTTAATCCGGTTTCCAACTTTATGGGGTTTACTTTGGATACGGCCCCCACTCAGTAATAGTTGAAAAATGTTCATAATATAGATAATATTAGGACGTTAATAGTAGCGCTATCTTGGACTTTTACTGTATGGTGGCAGTACCTAAGGTTTACTGTACACCGGACGATGCTTCGTCCGCCAGGGCCTGTGCAGACGACCCACACGCCGCTAAACCCAAAATCCTAAACCCTAAACCCTAAACCCTAAACCCCAAACCCCAAAACCCTAAACCCTAACCCCAAAACCCTAAACCCTAAACCCTAAACCCTAAACCCCAAAACCCTACGAGCCGCAGTCCAAGAAGCAGAGCATATGACTGTGCGACTGGACGGCCCATGACACGAGGACTCTGAGAAACCTTAAACCCTAAGCCCCTAAACCCTAAATCTTAAACTTAAACCCTAAACCCTTAAACCTTAAATCTCAAACTTAAACCCTAAACCCCTAAGCCCTGAATCTTAATCTTAAACCCTAAACCCCTAAACCTAAATCTTAAACTCTAAGCAATGCTGACATTCTCTGTCCAAACCCAAAGCCCAGCGCCCTCCTTGGCCGCTCCCGAGGGAAGGTCGAACACTCGCCCGAGTAGCAACAGGCGCTTGTATGGTTACCAATAGGGTTTAGGGTTTAGGGTTTAAATCTCCTAGTAGTAGAGTAGGTAACCTTTAACCTTGTTTGGGTAGTATAGTCTATATGATCCCTATATAGCCAAAAAGGTTAACCTTTAGTTCCCAGCCCTTCTTCCGTAGACTTGTTGATTTATAGTCATATTTCAATAAATGTACCCCGACACCCTGTTTTGTTTTATTCAGGCCCCTACATTAAATTACCGTTGACATTGCAGGGGGCAGCCGAGAATCCCCAATCTCCAAAGCCCACGAAGGTTTAGTTGTGTTTGGGGTTTAGGGGTGAAGGCTTAAGATTTAGGGCTTCGGAGTTTGGGATTTAGGGCTTAGGGTATAAACCGTCAGACTGAATTTCTAAATCTTGGTTTTAAAGCTACGCACATCCCTGCAACGGAACTTCAGCTTTCCCAAGGCCGTGGTGCTCGCCCAAGAGGGCATGAAGATGGAGATTACTGTACAGCTGGTGGCCTGGATCCTTTGGAGGTGTAGGCTTGAGGGGTTTTAGGGTTCAGGGTTCAGGGTTTAGGGTATAGGGTGTGTCACAGTGCCACGGCGCGCCCCACCCATGGAGTGGTCGTGGGTCGCGCCGTCTTCGTAACGTGGAACCCACCCACAACCACCCGAAGCAGGACTAGAACGGGTTTTGTGTTCTGCTTCTTCTTATTCGAGCGCTGCACTAGCCGAAAAGACGTTGCAATGTTGCGGAACGTCAAAGGGACATCCGAGTGATGTAGTCACAAAATAGCAGCGACGCCCTCGCTCGTCCTCGCCGGCCGCCAGAGTCGTCCGTCAGCCGTCGTCAGAGTCGTCCGTCAGGGCCCAGTGCCAGGCCTCCAGAAGTGGTCTGCAGCCGTCCGCTGTCCGTGCCAGTCCGGCCAAGAGTGCTGATCATCCAGTCGGCCGCCAGGGTTTTTTCGCCCGGCAGTCCGTGCCAGAATTGTCCAGCTTTGCCGCCAGACTCGCACTCCAAGCTCCTTGCCAGAGTCGGCCACTGTCCCCAAGCTCTTTCTAGGACGTCCCGTCCCCGTCAAACTATAGTCGTCAGCCGCCAGAGACGTGAAACAGACATTTCCGCATGGCCAGGGCACCGTGACACACCTTGTACAGTGACGGAGCTAAGTCGCATCATGCTTGTTGGATCCCAGCCCACCTTGCGGGGAAGCACCCGGGGGGGGTCGCATCACCGGGCGTCTACTCGGGGATACGTGATTATGTTGATTCGGGAATATTGAGAATTGAGTGCTGAAGCTGAGTTTACAGCAATTTACTTGCAGATTCGTTCTCTCTGTGTTACTTGGTGCTTGCTGCGTGCTTGCAAAATCGAGCGTCTACATGGGGAACGGCTGGTTCTTGTTTGCTGTTTGATTCGATGTCGCTGATGTATTTCTGGAGCGGGCGCTTGCTAAAGCGAGCCTCTACATAGGGAATGGCTGGTTTTGATGTGCTGTCCGCTGCGATGCCACTGATGTGTTTCTGGAGCGGGTGCTTGCAAAATCGAGCGTCTACATGGGCAACGGCTGGTTTTCATGGGCTGATTGCTGCAAAGCTCTTTTTGGAGGAACTGGGTCCCCGCAGGGTCACCCCGCTGTCCCCGCCAGGGTCGCTTGGTCAGGGTCGCCGTCCCCGCCAAGGTCCTTACGCCGTCCTTGCCAGGGTCGTCCGCCGTCCCCGCCACGACCGCCCGCCGTCCCCGCCAGGGTCGTCCGCCGTCCTCCAGAATCGTCTGCCAAGCTGTTTTTGGCCTTTTCAGTTGCTGTCAAAGCCAAGTGCCCGCCAGAGTGTCCGCCGTCGCCGTTAGGGTTGCCCGCCGTCCCCGCCAGGGTCGTCCGTCTGCCAAACTGTTTTTGGCTTTTTCGTGCCTGTCAAAGTCATCGCCACGTCCCCCAGAGTTGTCCGCCGTCCCCGCAGGGTCACCGTCCCGTCCGCCAGCCCCTCCAGAGTCGTCTGCCAGGCTGTTTTTGGCTTTTTCAGTCCCTGTCAGAGTCGCCAAGTCCCCGCCAGAGTCGTCCGCCGTCCCCGCCAGGGTCGCCCGCCGTCCCCCCCAGGGTCGTCCGCCGTCCCCGCCGGGGTTGCCCGCCGTCCCCGAGCCGTCCCTGCCAAAGTCGTCCGTCCACCAAGTCCCGGCCAGGGCCGCCAGCCGTCCCTGCCAGGGGCTCGCCATCCCCGCCAGGGTCGCTCGCCAAGCTCTTTCTACCAGGGTTCTCGCGCTGGGAGATAAGGCGCCATCCCCTCCAGAGTCGTCTGCCAAGCTGTTTTTGGCTTTTTGAGTCGCCAAGTCCCCGCCAGAGTCGTCCGCCGTCCCCGCCAGGGTCCCCTGCCGTCCCCGCCAGGGTCGTCCGCCGTCCCCCTCCAGAGTCGTCTGCCAAGCTGTTTTTGGCCCTTTTGCTGTCACAGCAGAGTCGTCCGCCGTCCCCGCCAGGGTTGCCCGCTGTCCCCGCCAGGGTCGCGCGCCGTCCCCGCCAAAGTCGTCCGTCCAAGTCCCCGCCAGGGTCGTCAGCCGTCCCCGCCAGAGTCGCCCGCCATACCCGCCAGGGTCGCTCGTCAAGCTCTTTCTACCAGGTCCCGTCCCCGCCAGGGTTCTCGCGCTGGGAGATAAGGGTACCCAATTTTACTATTGTGCCCCATGGCTAGCAGTGCCAAATCAGGTCTGGTAGACTCGATCTGCTTGGCCAAGCAAGCAGATCTCGAAGCGGTAGCGTTCAGTGGTACCGGCCGCCGCCGGGCGCGGGCGGCCAATGGTTTAGGGTTTAGGGTTTGGTTTAGGGTAGGACTGTAACTTAACAGCTGAGTGAGTGCAGTTTACACATTTGGGTGATAACAAAATCCCTAGAGACGACCATAGAACTCAATTGTTAGGTTCAATCTTTTGGGGGCTTATCAGCTGAGCAACTAAGATATTTATAAGTACTATGCAGGTGAGTTTAGGGTTACGGGCTGAGGGTTTAGGGTTTAGGGTTGAGGGTTTGAGTGTTGACGTTTGGGTTGAGGGTGCGGGGTTCAGGGCACAAGGTTTGCAGGTTAAGGCTTTGTAATGTCTCGTCAACAGCGCGTGAGCTGGGCCAGAAGAAAAAGCAAGCTGTCCGGATCATCTTCTTTACCACCCTCAGGCCCAAACCGTGGCAGCCGATTCATTTCTCATGCAGAGCGTGAGCCGTACAACAAACCCTCCATGTCATGTTCCCTCTGAGCCCTGAACCCCAAACGTTTGTACCCAATTCCTGAGCGGCAAAAGAAGCTCGACCTAAGCCCCCCCAAAAGTAAGTAACTAATTGGCTCAACACCCATAACAGGCTCATGCTCTGCATACATACACGCGGGGCCCTAAATCCAGAGATCTTCACTATAGTATCCTTAGGATGGTTTTATGTGTTTGTTCAAAGCACCCAAGGGAATATTTCAAGATACTTTTTCAATAATGGTTCTAACGGATGTCTGGTTAACCCTAAGCCTACAGTAAACCCCAGAAAGTTGGAAACCGGATTAAGGACGAATAGTGCTGGGATTCCTTATACATGATTCTTAAGGATTGAGGCTACGGGGTTTCCAACTTTTGGGCTTCTACTGCAAACCCAAACTCCTAAACCTGGGGTCGAGGCAAACCCTAAATCGAAACTGAATCGAAGATCTTCTTATATGGTCCTTAAGGGAGGGGAGGGTACAAGGAATCCTTAGGGGACTGTAAGGGAGCCTTAGGGAGTACTAGGGAGAATTAGGGATCACTGGGCTATATACCCCCCTTGGACCCCCCTCCCTTAAGGACACTGTAATCTTCGCCCCAAGCCCGACACCCTGTACACTAAACCATTATAAACCCTAAGCCTCAAATCGAAAATAGATCGAAAGATCTTCACCCTAAACCCACAACCGAAACTAAATCGAAAGATCTTCACCCTAAGCCCTAATTAAACCGAAACTAAGTCGACGATCTTCACCCTAAACTCTGAATCGAAGCTAAATCGAAAGATCTTCCCCCTAAGCCCTAAATCGACACTAAATCGAACGATCTTCACCCTAAAACCCTAAACCGAAACTAAATCGAGAGATCTTCACCCTAAGCCCTAAACTGAAACTAAATCGAAAGATCTTCAGGTGGAAATCTACAACGACCAACTTCGGGATCTCCTCGCAGTGGACTCGGGCAGCTCGGCAGTGGCTTTAGGGTTTACGGTTTAGGGTCTACGTAGTCTCCAAAATAACTACCCTTTCAGGACGTAGATAAGGAAGTCATAGTAGTAAGGAGCCCTAAAAAGGAAGGTTTTATAGGGTCCAGGTAGTGTTAGGGGTTTAGGGTTCAGGGAATAGGGCAGGGTTCAGGGCCAGAAAGGGCGAATAGTATTCCGCAGGGTGCCTTAACATATTTGTTTTTTGTCAGGCCCCTACATGGCTTTGTGGCTGGGTCTTGGGGAGGGTGTTAGGGTTGTCGGATTTACGAGTGTGAACGACCATAACCTACCTTATCGTAGGTTCTTGTTTGAAACAGCGGTGCCAGGAAAGAAACCCTCAAAGGAACCCTTAAGGATCCTTTACAGTTCCGTTTCAAAGGTACGATACGGGGTTCCTTTTAGGGTACTATAGGGGGTCAAGGGTGCTAGAGGGGTACTTTAAGGGTTCTTTTAGGGGTAACTATCTGTAAAGCTTGTCAGGCTCAGTCAACACTCAAGCAAGCTAGTGGGGCGATGGAAACCGTACGATTTTTCTTAAGTACTATGCACATTTTGAGCATCCCCGCCCACATCCCAACCTCAAACCCCGAAACCGCTTCAAAAACGATCCCTAAACCCGGAATCCTCCTATGGTCTGCCGTGTAAACTGTATATTTGGGACAACCGGGCTTCTGATCCTAGTCCCTCACGGAACTCCGCCAACGCCATGGCCGATTGTGCTGCGTCTGAAGCCATCATGCAGCAGATCGTGAGCGTCCATTGCATGGAAGGTTCCAGCTTTGAGCTGAAGGTCAACTCTGCCGAAACGGGGTGGGAAGTAGCAGAGCGCATCGCAGCCGGAGTTGGCCACCCTGCAGGTTTACTTCTGCTGACATCCGGTGACTGTGTCATCAATCCGCGCCAGCTGCTGCTGCATCAAGTCCAGCACGACGAGATCTGGTACGTGGTGCGCAAGCTTGGTGCGGGCCGTGTCGCAACGCTTTGGGAGCGCTTACTCGAGGGGCAAACAGTGTCTGATGCAGATGTAGCTGCCCTGAACGAAACGATGTCAGTCACGTGGTATTCCAACAAAAACCTCAACCAAAGCATCCAACTACCCAGTAGCCTGCAGAGTTTCACGTTCGGCGACAATTTCAACCAGAGCTTGGAGGGCATGCAACTACCCAGCAGCCTGCAGAGTTTGACGTTTGGCGCCGGTTTCAACCAGAGTTTGAAGGGCCTCCAACTACCCAGCAGCCTGCAGAGTTTGACGTTTGGCAAATATTTCAACCGGAGTTTGAAGGGCCTCCAACTACCCAGCAGCTTGCAGAGTTTGACGTTTGGCGAATATTTCAACCAGAGTTTGGAGGGCATCCAACTACCCAGCAGCCTGCAGTGTTTGACGTTTGGCTTCTATTTCAACAAGAGCTTGGAGGGCATCCAACTACCCAGCAGCCTGCAGAGTTTGACGTTTGGCACCTTTTTCAACCAGAGTTTGAAGGGCCTCCAACTACCCAGCAGCTTGCAGAGTTTGAAGTTTGGCGAACATTTTAACCAGAGTTTGGAGGGCATCCAGCTACCCAGCGGCCTGCAGAGTTTGACGTTTGGCGCCAATTTCAACAAGAGCTTGCAGGGCAGCCAACTACCCAGGAGCCTGCAGAGTTTGACGTTTGGCGAATATTTCAACGAGAGCCTGGAGGGCATCCAACTACCCAGCAGCCTGCAGAGTTTGACGTTTGGCGCCAGTTTCAACCAGAGTTTGAAGGGCCTCCAACTACCCAGCAGCCTGCAGAGTTTGACCTTTGGCGAATATTTCAACCAGAGTTTGAAGGGCATCCAACTACCCAGCAGCCTGCAGAGTTTGACGGTTGGCGAACATTTCAACCAGAGTTTGGAGGGCATCCAACTACCCAGCAGCCTGCAGAGTTTGACGTTTGGCGCCAGTTTCAACCAGAGTTTGAAGGGCCTCCAACTACCCAGCAGCCTGCAGAGTTTGACGTTTGGCGCCAGTTTCAACCAGAGTTTGCAGGGCATGCAGCTACCCAGCAGCCTGCAGAGTTTGACGTTTGGCGCCAGTTTCAACCAGAGTTTGAAGGGCCTCCAACTACCCAGCAGCCTGCAGAGTCTGACGTTTGGCTTCAAATTCAACCAGAGCCTGGAGGGCATCCAACTACCCAGCGGCCTGCAGAGTTTGACGTTTGGCGCCAGTTTCAACCAGAGTTTGAAGGGCATCCAACTACCCAGCAGCCTGCAGAGTTTGACGTTTGGCGCCAGTTTCAACCAGAGTTTGGAGGGCATCCAGCTACCCAGCAGCCTGCAGAGTTTGACGTTTGGCGAATATTTCAACCAGAGTTTGAAGGGCCTCCAACTACCCAGCGGCCTGCAGAGTTTGGCGTTTGGCCTCAATTTCAACAAGAGCTTGCAGGGCAGCCAACTACCCAGGAGCCTGCAGAGTTTGACGTTTGGCGAATATTTCAACGAGAGCCTGGAGGGCATCCAGCTACCCAGCAGCCTGCAGAGTTTGACGTTTGGCGCCAGTTTCAACCAGAGTTTGAAGGGCCTCCAACTACCCAGCAGCCTGCAGAGTTTGACCTTTGGCTTCAATTTCAATCAGAGCCTGGAGGCCATCCAACTACCCAGCAGCCTGCAGAGTTTGACGCTTGGTTGCCCGTTCCAGAGTTTGGAGGGCCTGCAACTACCCAGCACTCTGCAATTTCTCACTTCGCGGAATTTTTGTGTTGCCACGTGGTGAGCCTTGATGTGCTGGTTTGGTGTCCTCTTCAAGGCCAGCTGGGTCGAATGACGGTTTAGGGTTTAGGGTTGAGGGGCTGCTTTGGTTCTTGACGAATGTCCTGCAGCAGGTCTTCGTCGTCACGGCGGCTGGTATCTATGGCGGCGCTCGTTCCTGACCTCTTTGCATCCCACACCCAGAGTGACTCTTCCAGAAGAGTTTGAACTCGAAAGGAAACCCACGTCCTGTTGCCAACCACAAACCCTCTGAGTGATTTTTAAGTTGTCAGCCTAACATTTGATTTGGGCACAAGCCTCTTCTTAGGGACCTGCTCAGCGGAGAAAGCGCCACTGCATATTCAGAAATGGGAGTTTCCGAAAATTAGGGTACCTTATTTTGGGGTCTTTACAATAAGGGTCCTACAATTTAAGGTACGATGTTAGGGTCCCATGCTGTCGGAAACTCCCAAAGCAAACCCTTACAGCGTTGTTTTTGTGCTTGCGGCTCCGAAGGGCTGTCGTAGCCCTGAGTACTGAGGGTCCATGTGCCCAACCCTAAACCCCAACCCGAATAGTCTATACTACGGCCCTAACCTGCCTATATACGGACTACTTCAAGGCCAAAGTATGTGCTATTTGGGCACATGGACCCCTACCCTAAGGCTCAAAATAGCCCAAAAGCATCATATAGTATGGTCTTTAGGCCCAAAAGCCTCGAAACATGAGTCCTTAGAGCCTTAGGGTTATGGTAGCGCCACTAAACCCTAAACCCTAAATCCTAAACTGACTTGCCCACCTTGGCCTGTCCAAGGGAGAACTGTAGTTCTAGCTTCGGCAGTAGTACCCTGTTGCCGGAGTAGCTGGTGAAGATCCCTATAAACCCCAAAGCCCCTAAGCCCTCAATCCTAGACCCCTAAACCCGTGTCGGAATCCCCGAAACATGGACGGCGCCGGGCACGATCCACCTTAAACCCTAAACCCCTAAACCCTAAACCCTAAACCCCTAAACCCTAAACCCTAAACCCTTAAACCCTAAACCCGGCTTCCCGAATCTGCTCGAGGATCCCTTCTGCAACTTCCAGGACCCCCCAAGTGCACCTTACTGGAGCCCCTTACCCTAAGGGTCCAAAGGACCCAATAATTGGGTACTTAGGTGTCGGGTAGTAGTTATGTAGGTTGCTATTTGGGAGAGTCCATGATTATTTTGTACTTGGACCCTTAGGGTTATGGTCCTTAGTAGTGGGATTTAGGATATGTTCAAGGGTAGTTGGGGGGTCGAGATTCTACCACGAAAAGATTCCGAAAAGATTTGGCAGCTGGAGATCCGGGAAGGCATTACGGATGGACAAGGAGCCTAAGAATGAAGCTTGAATAATTGCCGATGAGTGTCTTTAGGGCTCCTGCTTATACCATAATATACCCACAACATTCCAAAACCCTGTTAAACAAACTTTACGCTGCACCCTAAACCCTCAACCCTCATAGTTTGACTACCACGTACCCCAAAGGGTCCATGTACCCAAATAGTAGATACTAGTAGTAGATGCTTTGGCCCCAAAGTACCTATACAGGGACTACCTTAGGGTACCTAAAGGTATCCCTTAGGGAGCCCTGAAGGGATACCTTGGAGGCCCCCCTACAGGGACCCTTAGAAAGGATCCCTTGAAATCTGAAAGACACCCCTACCCTAGACCCCAAACCCGAAACCCTTGAAAATGAATTGAAAAAGGTCTCTCAAAGGAACCCTTACCCTAAGGCTCAAAATTACCCAAAAGCTTCATCTAGTATGGTCTTTGGGCCCAGATAACTTATAATATGAGTCCTTATAGATGTTTAGGGTAAACGGACCGAAAAGAGAACCCTTACTGTTGATGGACAAAATCCTGCATGACCCTAAGGACTCTAAACTATGGGAACTATGGTATATTCCTTAAAATGGGTAATGCAGGATTTTGTCCATCAACAGTAGGACCCCTTTAAAGGAGCCCTAGATCCTAAACCCCTAACCCTAAACCCTAAATCCTACCCCTTTCAAGGCACCCTATAGATCCCTTTAAGGAGCCCTAAAGGTTCTTTTAAAGGAGCCCTTAAGTCCTAAAAGAGCACCCTTATGGATCCCTTTAAGGAACCCCCAAAGGCGGCTCAGCGAAACGTCTCCGACTCTCCGTCTGCAGCTCGGGCAGCGCCTTACTCGGCGCGCGGCTCCTCGGCGCAGCTGTGTCTCTGGGGTTTAGGGTGTAGGGTTTAGGGTTTAGGGGTGTAGGGTTTAGGGTGTCTTTGGGGGTCTCCGTTACCCTACTTAAAGGATCATGGGACTCAGTATAGGGTTATACTTACGGGTAACTATGCTTAGAGCTACTGTTAGGGTCTACTTGGAGGATCATGGGACTTAGTAAGTCAGGTTATAAGTACCTTAGTTCGGGGTATAAGTAGTTACAAGTATAGTTACCCTACTTCTAGTCCTGGTTACTAAGTCCCATGATCCTTTAAGTACCCTAAGGGTCTAAGGCTCCAAATAGCCCAAAGTATTGGTACCATTTATAGACTTTAGAGGCCAAAGTAGGTAGTATTTGTGTACTGAAGTCTTAGGGTTAAAGGAAACCTGAAAATCGCTTCGTGATTCAACACTAACAGGAATCCTTGGAGGGACCTTGATGGGTTTAGGGTTGAGGGTTTAGGGTCTTTCATGATCAGCATAAGGTTCTGGGGAACATGACACTATACTTGAAAAAAGGACCTTGAAGGCTTCTTTAAGGGTGCCTACACGGGGCTGTTATAAAGCGCTACTTTCAGTTTTCACTTGCGGTTCAGGATAGCAGGGTTTTGAGCTTTTTTGTGCTCGATCGCTGAAGAGTTGCTTTATAGTAGAAGCCAGAAAGTTGGAACATGGCTTTAGGAGGATTAGTGCTAGGATCCCTTATACTTTACCTTAAGGGCATGAGGAGTCTGATGTTCCAACTTTCTGGCTTCTACTATAAGAGTTCTCTAATCAGGCTTCGGTTAGGGTTGCATACGGTTTAGGGTTTAGGGTTTAGGGTTTAGGGTTCAGGGTTCAGGGTTTAGGGTTTAGTGTTTAGGGTTTAGGGTTCAGGGTTCAGGGTTTAGGGTTTAGGGTTAGGGTTGCATACGGGCTCTATAGACGTTCTCGAACGCTGTGGGCACAGGAATCTCGAAGCCCTTCAAGCAATGTGTGAGTATGCCTTGAAGTCTCTTTAGGTTAAAGAACCCTCGTTTGAACTGAATGTGTTGCTTGCTTTTTTGTTAAGTGTTTTAGGTTTCGGTTTGTGGGCTTTAGGTTTTAGCGATGCGTGCTTGTAGCTTAGGGGTTGAGGTTTTGGGTTTGGGTTTGGGTGCTACAGAATCGAAGCCTGTACCCTAAACCCTGTAGACCCTAAACCCTAAACCTTAAATCCCTAAACCCTTAAACCCTAGAACCCTAGACCCTGTAAGCATCTCAACGCTGTACAGCCACGGAGATTTCGGAGGACTTGTTTGGTTTCGACAGAAACCGGCGGTGGCATCGCAGCCATGCTTGGGGAGGTGCTACGTATCGGCCAGGCGCACTACGGCTTCAGGGGGTACTTGGAGGATCATAGGGTTTAGGGTTCCTTTAAAAGGGATTTATATGGGTTCCTATAATGGGATCTATAAGGGTTTAGGGTTACTTGGAGGATCAGGGGACTTAGTAAGTAAGGTTATAAGTACCTTAATTAGGGTTATAAGTAGCTATAAGTATAGTTACCCTGTTAACCCTATAGTTACTAAGTCCCATGAAGCTTTAACTACAGATGTGGTACGGCCGTTACTGATTATCAGTCTGACTGCTGTCATGGTTCGAAATAAGGAGTAGGAGGTACTGCCTCGTACCAGCAGTGCGGGAATAGTGCTATCTGTTGCTACAGTAGTCTTGTCGATAGATGTCGTCGTGGGCAGGTTTGCGGTCACATTCCGTCTCCGCCGTCGCTGCTGACGCTGCTGTCGCTGTCGCCGTCGCCTGTCGCCGTCGCAGTCCGCGGCCGTCGTCGTTGTCGCTTCATCGTCGCAGTCTTTGTCGTAGCTCTGCATTCCCCCTGTTCGGCCTGTTCAAGTTTTGTATCTAAAGCTGCTTCGGGGTAGAAGCAGGCTAACGAATTCTTGCCCCACAGCCCCAACAGGAGAAGCGATGGTCCCACAGCAAGCAATTCTCCTGCAACCTAAACCCACTGCTTGCAGCGCTTAAACTATAAAGATGAACACGTAATAAGCCTGAAGCCACAGCTTCGCACCCGCGAGCTCGTGGGCGGCTGCCAAACATGTCTGTTGGGTCATAGACCCAATGGTTCTGGGAGTCAAGCGCAACACTTTCCAAGTTAACTTCGAAATCGATGGACCACCCTAAACCCCAAACCCTTAAAAGCCAATCCCAAACTGCACAGCCTAGATCCTCACATAAATCTCAATCTGCACCCTTCAGCCGCTTCAAACGGGTCTAGCTAACCTACAGTTCTGAGCCTTTGACTCTTAGGGACCCCAAAAAGCACGTAAGCATAAGCATTTTCTGGGGATGTCCCTAATATTATCGGGCTTGATTATCAGGGGGTTTAGATGGGATATCCCTAACCATATTTTTGCTTATGTGCTTTTGGGGGGTCCTAGACGCGTGAAGCCTCAAGGCCCACCGCGCCACGTGCAACACTGCCCTGAACGTGCGATCCTCCCGTTCTCACCTGGTGATGATGCTCCTAGGCTGGCCATCGCCGGGGTGTCTTCGTGAGTATAGTAAGTAGATCAAAGGCAGCGGATTCAGGATTTGTTCGTTTAGGCCGAGAACTCAACGCGGACTACTCGGCGATTAAGATGTTTCTTCGCAGTTCGTTTTTGTTGGGTTGACGCGCTTGGAAAGTGGCAACCGAGGCTGTTCCTGTCTTGCCGGGACATGAACGGCTATTTGCGGGAGGCAGGCCGTTGAAAGTTGTTCAGAAGTCCAGAACGTGTAATATGCTCTGTGGATGTTGCATGCTGCGTTCATCAACGAACCAAGTATGTAGACATACACAACCGTATATATATATATATATATGTATACACATATGTATATGTGTATATATGTATGCATATATATATATATATATATAAACACCTGTTTGTACATACGCTTTACTTGGTATGCATACATGTACACATCCACATGTGCATGTGCGTAATATGTGTACATGTACATGTATATATGAATCGTACGTGCGTACATCCATGCAACTAGGACGAACAGCTTATTATCGTTAATGTGTCCGTAGGACATTATAGCGAGTCTCTCTGAGATCACAGTCGTTGTCCACAACCCTAAACCCTAAACCCTAAAACCTAAACCCAGGCCGGGAAGCTGAGTTTGGTCGATTTGGCCGGCAGCGAGCGTTTGAAGCGCAGCGAGGCGGTTGGTGAGCGGAGACGGGAGGCCCAGCACATCAACCGCTCTTTGAGCGCTTTGGCCGACGTGATCTCCGCCAAGGAGCGGCGCGTCTCCCATGTGCCGTACCGGAACTCCAAGCTGACGCAACTGCTTCAGGATGCTCTCGGTGGAGCCGAGCACTGCCGTACTGTGGTTATTGTTACACTTCCGCCTACGAAGGAGTGCCTCAACGATACGCTGCACTCATTGCAGTTCTCCCAACGCCTCACTGCAGTCGCCCTGCCAACACCCGTTGTTGAGCGAACGAGGCGCCTGTCCCTGCGCTTGGAGGGCCAGGATAGCAGAGCACAGCTGATGCAGGAGGTCGCGCGATGGCGTGCAGAGTTCGAGAAAGCGCAGGCGCAGAGGGATGAGCTGAAGACGGCCTTGGAGATCAAAGACAAAGAGCTCCAGGACGGGCAGTATTCCTTCCGCGTAGTGTCAACTGCAATATGGCTTTGCGGCACATTACAGTTTGATTGTAGTCTAGCGTTTTAGAGTTTACATAGCTTGGGTTTTAGGGTTAACCCCATAGGGACAGAACGGGGATATTACTACTCTAAGTCCCGAACCCCAACCCTAAACCCTAAACCCCAAACCCTAAACCCTATTACTGGTTTCAGGAGGCTCGGCGTCGTAACGCAGCTCTCCTGGCAGCTGCTGATCCTCCGCCAGTCCTAGTGCAGACGATGAGAGACCTACCAACAGAAACTTAGCTAACCATTGAGATTGGAGGAGCTAAGGAGCCAGGGATGATGATAGTCCCTCCTAAATAAGGAGCTAAAGAGCCAAGGGAACCCCAAAACCACTGGTTAGTTAGTAGCTGAAGTCATGAGCTTTCTTCCGATTTTTGGATAACTTATACCTGCCTGGACCCCAAAAGTATGTAGAATAATAGCCTTTTATAGGTTTTGGGCCATTATTTTACCTACTTTGTAGGGGTTCTAGGTACCTAATATACCTGTAACCTTCACGAGACAGTGAATTTTGTAAGCCTTTTTGGCATGTGACCTTCGGGAACTCAGGAAAGGGCCCGTGAATCCCGGGCCTCGCCGGGTCACCGGGTCGCCTCTTCGGGGCCCAAGAGGTCCCCATCGCCCCGAACCCAGGGCTCTCCACGGGAAGTCCCACGCCACATCCCCCCAAGGCCCCCAGGCTGTTCAGTGGTACACGTTTTTTTACTTTCTGGTTTCTGGGTTCCTGTTGCCCTAAACCCTAATCCCTAAACCCTAAACCCCTAAACCCTAAGCCCCTAAACCCCTAAACATAAACCCTAAACCCTAAACCCTAAACCGTGGCTGGGTTACTGAACAGCCAAGGCCCCTGCAACCGTTGAGAACTTCGAGGTCTGCAGACTACTCCCCGCAACTCCCCGGCCGATACTGGGCTCTTCTTCAAGACCCAGAGGTTTAGGGTTTAGGGTTTAGGGGTTGGTTTAGTCTTAGTAATGAGATGAAAAAGTACATTATGCGTTGCCAAAATAGGAATCTATACTATACGTTACTAAAGGAATCTAAATCCTAAGGTTTCTTGTTTTGACAACTTTTGCAGCAAGCAAGTTCCAGAACAAGAGTTGCCATAATAGGGATCTATAGTAAGTAATATGGTTTTCCTTTTCATGGTAGCTTAAGCTAGGCTAAGTTAAGTTCCTTAACAAGAACCCAGGATGGAACCCCTTCGGCGCGCCCGACCGGAACCAAAGGCGGGGCCAGAGCCCAAGCGCCCAGCGGCCCCGGCGCAACGCCACGACATCCCCGCCGCCAAGGGAGCCTTTGCAGTAAAGGAAGCGGCCTTCGACCTTTTGGGGGGAACCATAGGGTTTAGGGTTTATAGGGTTTAGGGTTTAGGGCTTATAGGGTTTAGGGTTTATAGGGTTTAGGGTTTATAGGGTTTAGGGTTTAGGGTTTAGGGACCTTCTTACCTTTCTCTTGTCCCAAGGGTCTAAACTACAAAGGCTCCTAGCTTTTGTTCGCTTGGAAAGTGGAGCCGTGCTTAATGTTCGTAATTCGGGTTGTAATTAAGGCTACGATACTTGTCATGACTTCTAACCCCAATCAAGGTACTTCAGGCCTTACTTTCTACATCCCGTGATCTTCCCTTACAAAACGCATATAGATCCCGTTGAGGACCCCTTTAAGGATCCCGTAAAGAACCTTACGAACTAAGCCCCATGATCCTCCCTCATATAGAACCCTTTAAGGACGCCCCTTCTGGGACCTCTTTTCAGGACCCCCTTCTCAGGACCCCCTTAATTTACGGACCCCGTTGAGGATCCCTTTAAGGACCACCCTTTCAGGACTCCGCTTGAAGGATCCCTTAAGGATTCCTTAAAGGATCCCTTCAGGGCCCCTTTGAGGATCCCCTGAAGGTTCCTCAAAGGATCCATGAGTCTACAAGTGGGGATTTCCGAAAACTAGGGGACCCTAATATAGTATCCTTAATAGTAGGATCCTTATTATAAGGACCCCAAAATGAGGTACCCCTACTTAGAGGATCATGGGACTTAGTAAGTAGGTTATAATTAAACCCTAAACCCTATAGATTCCTTATAGGAACCCTTATAGATCCCTTTAAGGAACCCAAAGGTAGCCCTAATACCTTACTACAGGGTACCCCTAATTTTCGGAAACTCCCAAGCTAAGGAGGTCCGCCATCCCTTTAAAGGAACCCTTGTAGTACCCTTATAGTAGCCCTTTAAAGGGAATGTAAGGTCCCCCTAATTTTGGGAAGCTCCCAAGCTAAGGAGGTGCGCCATGGAGAGACCGGTCGGCAGGTCGCTACTACGGGGGCCGTGGCAACGGGAGGAAACCGGGGCGCAGGTGTGGGGCGTAGGGTTTAGGGGTTGGGGTTTAGGGTTTAGGGTTTGGGGTTTAGGGTTTGGGGTTTAGGGTGTGTCGACCAAGCTGTTGCGGTAAAAAGAATGTAGGACGGACGTCGGAGTTGTTTTGCGTAAGAGAGTTCGTCACGTCCGTGGACCTCGATATAGATCCCCCACAACCCACCCAGAGCATTTGTCCTTAGCTTAAGTCCTTAAGCGTCCAACACGAAGGAAATACCCATGCAGCTACAGGCAGGCGGAGAGTCTTTCCACCGTGACGGCGGCGATGACAACTTTAAGAGCAGCCACACGAAAAGAAAGGAGGAGACCTCGAGATTCGCACCTGCCCTGCATTAAAAGGCACATTTTATGAACAGAATTTGGTACACCAAAATCAGCACCAGTTTTCCAATCGCCGAAGGTTCAGGCTGAGTTTAAAGCAGCCACACGAAAAGAACGGCCCTGTTTTGCTGCAGAATGTGGCTTCGGCCGCTTTGGGCACCCATAGGCACCGGATGGTTTAGAGCAGGCACACGAAAAGAACGGCCCTGTTTTGTTGCAGAATGTGGCCCCGACCTGCTTGGGCACACACGAGCACTCGAGGGTCCATTTTTTGATCCGAGCTCCGAGGGACGGAGTTTAGGGATTGGGAAGGCGGCTAAGAGCAGGCACACGAAAAGAAAGGGGGGGCACCTCGAGATTCGCAGCCGGCCTTGTCTAAAAGGCACATTTTATGAACAGAATTTGTCACTTGAAAATCACTAGCAATTTTCCAAATTTCCGGAAGCAAAAATGCAAAAAAATCTAAAATTTAAAGCTGGCTGTCCTTTTCCGAAAAGGACAAGCGCGACTAAATGTAGAGAATCTCGAACTTAAGAGCTGGTTGTCCTTTTCCGAAAAGGACAAGCGCGACTAAATGTACAAAATCTAGGATTTAGAGCTGGTTGTCCTTTTCCGAAAAGGACAAGCGCGACTAAATGTAGAAAATCTAGATTTTAGTAATTTTAGAGCTGGTTGTCCTTTTCCGAAAAGGACAAGCGCGACTAAATGTAGAAAATCTAGATTTTAGAGCTGGCACACGAAAAGAACGGCCCTTGTTTTGCTGCAGAATGTGGCCCGACCTGCTTGGGCACACACGAGCACTCGAGGGTCCATTTTCTGATCCGAGCTCCGAGGGACGGAGTTTAGGGATTGGGAAGGCGGCTAAGAGCAGGCACACGAAAAGAAAGGGGGGCACCTCGAGATTCGCAGCCGGCCTTGTCTAAAAGGCACATTTTATGAACAGAATTTGCCACTTGAAAATCACTAGCAATTTTCCAAATTTCCGGAAGCAAAAATGTAAAAAATCTAAAATTTAAAGCTGGCTGTCCTTTTCCTGAAAGGACAAGCGCGACTAAATGTAGAGAATCTCGAATTTAAGAGCTGGTTGTCCTTTTCCGAAAAGGACAAGCGCGACTAAATGTACAAAATCTAGGATTTAGAGCTGGTTGTCCTTTTCCGAAAAGGACAAGCGCGACTAAGTGTAGAAAATCTAGATTGTAATAATTTTAGAGCTGGTTGTCCTTTTCCGACAAGGACAAGCGCGACTAAATGTAGAAAATCTAGATTTTAGAGCTGGCACACGAAAAGAACGGCCCTTGTTTTGCTGCAGAATGTGGCCCCGACCTGCTTGGGCACACACGAGCACTCGAGGGTCCATTTTTTGATCCGAGCTCCGAGGGACGGAGTTTAGGGATTGGGAAGGCGGCTAAGAGCAGCCACACGAAAAGAAAGGGGGGCACCTCGAGATTCGCAGCCGGCTTTGTTTAAAGGGCACATTTTATGAACAGAATTTGTCACTTGAAAATCACCAGCAATTTTCTCAATTTCCGGAGGCCAAAATGTAGAAAATCTAAAATTTAAAGCTGGTTGTCCTTTTCCGAAAAGGACAAGCGCGACTAAATGTAGAGAATCTAGATTTAAGAGCTGGTTGTCCTTTTCCGAAAAGGACAAGCGCGACTTAAATTTAGAAAACCGGTTTAGGGATGAGGTAGGTGGCCAAGAGCAGCCGCACGAAAAGAACGACCTTGTTTTGCTGCAGAATGTGGGCTTGACCGCCTTGGGCACACCTGGACCCCGGATGGTTTAGAGCAGCCACACGAAAAGAACGGCCCTGTTTTGCTGCAGAATGTGGCCCCGACCCGCTTGGGCACACACGAGCACTCGAGGGATCGAATGGTTAGAAAGACCGGTTTAGGGTGTTAATATATCTCATTATATTACGGAATGCGTGTAATCAGTTACTGAGCTTACTAGTAAATGGAAGTAATTATGTCTATAATTACCATATACCTCGTAAAGACTAGAAAGTCTTTCGTTCTCTTCCCGAACAAGGTGTAGTACGCTCCTGTGAGTAGTAAGGCTTAAGCTGAGCATTCAGGCTTAAGCTTTGAGTTTAGGCTTTAGGGTTTAGGGTTTAGGGTCTAGGGTGTGTAATAGTATGCGGGCGCGCGGTGGGTGCGCCTTTTACTTTAGGAATAGGGGGTGCGCCCACTAATCGCGCGCTTGCGTCAGCATGTAGTCCCGCCCCAACCACCCCAACTATTCTCAATTAGGGTTTAGGGTTCACCCCCCAAACCCCCCTCAAGGGGGGCTTTCTTGCTCTCTGCTTCCTTTCGCAGCTCGACATGTAGACAACAATAGTTTTCCAGAAATCACAGCTGCAATGGATTGCTGTCGGGTTGTGGGTCCTCGCGGCCTGTGCCGGCCGCTCGTCGAAAAAAGCGTTTCCAACAAACAACTTGCTTGTCGAAGTGTGAACAAGGCAGGGCAGGGCGACGAGTAGGCCAGGGCAGAAGCAGCAGCAAGGCAGTAGGGCAGGGCAGCACAGGGCTGGGCAAGGCAGGCAGGGCAGGAGCAGGGCAGGGCAGGGCAGGACAGGGCAGGCAGGGAAGGGCAGGGCAAGGCAAGGCAGGGCAGGGCAGGGCAGGGCAGGGCAGGGCAGGGAAGGGCAGGGCAGGGCAGGGCAGGGCAGGGCAGGGCAGGGCAGGGCAGGGCAGGGCAGGGCAGGGCAGGGCCGCCCATGCAAATGGTCAGCGGCGCTCTCGGCAGTTTAGGGTTTGGGGTTTAGGGTTTAGGGTTTGGGGTTTGGGGTTTAGGGTTTAGGGTTTAGGGTCATAGGGTTTAAGGTTTGGGGTTTAGGGTCTAGGGTTTAGGGTTTAGGGTCTAGGGTTTAAAGGTTTAGGGTTTATAGAAATTGTTAAGGGTTTGGGTGCCAAAAACGTTTTCAACGAAAGTTTTCAACGAAACTTTTCAGTTTGGGGGGGGGGGAGGGGGCCATAGCTGGGATGGGAGGGCTGGGGCTGGGGTCGGGCTGGGACTGGGGCTGGGGTCGAACCATCATAGAAATTGAGTCCCAAAATTCTTTTGAACGAAACGTTTTGAACGAAAGTTTGGGGGGCTGCTGCCGGGGCTGGTGGGGGAACTGGGGGCGCTAGGGGGGCTGGCTGCTGGGTTGCGTTGTTTGCTGGGGCTGCTGGGGTGCTGGGACGGCTGTGGCTGCTGGGGCCTGATTTGGGGGGCTGCTACTGGGGCCCTCTCGTGCGACGGCGGTGTGAATTCGGACGCCCAGAATGAAGCGTTGTTCCACTGGAACTTGTGTCTTGTACCCACGTCTGCAATGCTGAGTGTTTGCCTCGGCTCCTGCTACTCCAGACTATGTCTGACGGGTTTCTTCGGTCGAAAAGGGTATGGTGTCTTTTCTTTCTGTCACTCCTTCGAACAGCGTTGCTCCTGACCACGACTCACCTCAGGAGTTGGCCGGGGGCGACCTTGACGGTGACGACAACTTTTTCTGCTTTTGGAAGCCGCTGCTAGATTCAGATCTTCTGAAGTTCACGAAGGCACTGCCATGAAATGGCTTTGGCACATAGTTGCACATATATAGCTGATCGATGAAGACCCGAATTGCAGGACAAGGCGGCTGCGGTACCTGTCTCCGACATTGAGAAGCAGCTGCTGGCAGAGTTCCAGAAACCGTGCACTCCCTTCAAGACAGACACAAGCGATGAACGAAGCAGCTAGCCTGCTTTTTGGTGCCAGTCGTTGTGGACTTGCATGTTCGCTATCTTCTGCGCGCTTAGTAACTGAAGCGCGGTTTGTCCGTTGGAGGTGCCGAGCTTCTTCACCACACCTGTACCATGAGCACTATGCCGGTACGGGGGATGGCAGCCATACTGTCGGAGCGCTTTGTCACGAAGGCGCTGGATGCAGGCGGTGGGCTGGAACGACTATCGCGAACTGAAGAGATCGTCGCCGTGTACTAACGTCTGTCCTCGCTCGTGTCTGAACAGGCGAGGGTCCCGGCGAGTTTTTTCCACGATGCCATCTTAGCAAATTTCTTTGCGCATAATGCGGCTCAGTTTGCATCTTGTTCTCGACGCGCTCTGTTAAGGGGCATGATATGCTGTGGGTCGACAGCCCCACCAATCTTTATCTTGAGTTGTTGCATCCCCGCACTCTATCGAGGCCAAAAGACGCCGTCAAGAAGTGCAGGCGACTGGCAAAAGACAAGGAAGTCAGCAAGGAGCTTGTCAGGCTGGCCGCTAGAAGTGCTTAGCGTGACTTTTGTAACATCGGCATTTAACATCTCTGCACGTAGAGGTGCTCCGACACCATCACCGGGCAACTCCGCATCGAATCACCGCAACTTGAGGAGTGCAGGCACGGCCGGACTGAACAGTTGTCAGAAAATGCAGGAAGGTTTGCCTCACTGTGTCTAGCTGCGCATGTTGGTAGTTGTTGCGAAGTTCTGAAGCATGAAGCCAGTGTGTGATGATGTATAGCAACGTGCACTGTTTCTTGTGGTGATTTAGCAACATGCAGTGTTCGTCACATCGCACGTTCAGGAAGCGGAAGCACGGTGCAGATAATCCAGTCCCGGCAAGAAGGGCCCCCGTCATCCGGATGAACCGAGACAAAGTGCTCAGCCACTATGCTCCTTGGTTGCAGAGCTCGCGTCTGTCGCTATCCTATGGATGTCCATGCATTACATTGCTACTGAGTGCCGGACACTGGCTGAAGATGCAACTCAGGCGCCACTGCTGGAGGAAGCTACCGGTGGGCAAACCGTCATGGGCGGTATCTGGTTTCCCGAAGGACGGATTGTCCTCGGACGCGAAGCAGGCATCTGTTCCCGATGTCGTTCGGGTTCGACTTTATGTGTCGCTGCGTGTTTGCTAGGCCGAGCCATGCGCCTGGCGCTGCATGATCCGCCCGAGGCGCCCTATGAAGCAAGGACTGCCTTATTAAGCGATCAGCATAATGATGCACCATGTGCCAAGAGATTCGTGAACCTGTACACTTCTGCAGGAAAAAGCACAGGACACCTCTCAAGGAGATCAGTGCCTTCCTCCGGCTCCGCTTGGAGCGGCGGCTGCACAAGAAGGTTGAGAACTGGTGGCAGGCCGGGCAGATCTACTTGATGCTTCGCTTCGCCCGTATTGGTTGCTTGGAGGTGTCGGCAGCAGATTTCCGAAACGCGGTCAACACAAAAGGGCCCAGCAGCGGTCGGGAGACTTGGATGTCGGTCCTGCACAGCCCGCTCCCGTAGCGTTTCACAAACTGGACGTCCGGATGTTCCAGAGAATAGGTTTGCGTGGTCAACAGACAATTCTTTACATACTACGCAGGCTTCAGCTACAATCTTAACCATTAGTTTGAAGTGGGCGCTAGAGAACTGTCGAGCTACATACTGACACTAACGCTTGGCAGACCATATCACCTATTTCAGACCAAACCACACAACAGACATCAGAGGCAACATTACCAGATTGCAGCAATACTTGCGTGTGCGCTCGGAGTTCGTAGACCAGCTTGAAGAGGATGCGGCAATGCGAAAGGTGTAAGGCACGCATAGACGAGTTAGTCAGCCATTAGGCGGTCACGCCTTCCGAGGTCACTACAACTGAAGCCAAAACTATAGACATCTGTGAGCCAAGGACGCTGTAAGTTCGTAACACCAACGTCCACCCAAGAACTCCGTATCTTTGTATATGGTATACAGACTTTGCAAAGTTCAAGGACGCTACAAGTTTGTAACGCCAACGTCCACCCATGAACTCCGTATCTTTGACGGTACAGATCTTGCAAATTTGAATGACGCTGTAAGTTTGTAACGCCAACGTCCGCTCATGAACTTCGTATCTTCGTATGGTACAGACTTTGCGAATTTCAAGGACGCTGTAAGTTTGTAACGCCAACGTCCACCCATGAACTTCGGATCGTTGTATGGTACAGACCTTGCACATTTCAAGGACTCTGTAAGCTTGTAACGCCAACGTCCACCCCTGAACTTCGTATCGTTGCATGGTACAGATTTTGCAAATTTCAAGGAGGCTGTAAGTTTGTAGCGCCAACGTCCACCCATGCACTCCGTATCGTTGCATGGTACAGACCTTACAAATTACAAGGACACTTTCAGTTTGTAACGCCAACGTCCACCCATGAACTTCGTATCTTTGTATGTTACGAACTTTGCAAGTGTCAAGGACGCTGTAAGTTTGTAACGCCAACGTCCACCCATGAACTTCGCATCTTTGTATGGTATCGACTTTGCAAAGTTCAAGGACGCTGTAAGTTTGTAACGCCAACGTCCACCCATGAACTCCGTATCTTTGTATGGTACAGACCTTGCAAAGTTCAAGGACGCTGTAAGTTTGTAACACCAACGTCCAGCCATGAACTCCGTATCTTTGCATAGTTGCACACGCTGGTTTCCATTTGCTAATGCAAATTAAATTAAACAAGGATGCTAGTTGCACACGCAGGTTTCCATTTGCTACGGCAAGAGCAAGCATGCTAGTTAAACACGCTGGTTGCCATTTGCCAAGGCAAAAAACAAGGATGCTAGTTGCACACACTGGTTTCCTTATGCCGATGCCAAAACAAGGATGCTAGTTGAACACACTGGTCTCCTCATGCTGAAACAAAAACAAGGATGCTAGTTGCGCACGCTGGTTTCCTTTTGCCGAGGCAAAAAGACGGATGCTAGTTGCACAGGCTGGTTTCCAGTTGCCAAGGCAAAAACAAGGATGCTAGTTGCACACGCTGGATTCCTTTTGCCAAACCAAAAAGAAGGATGCTAGTTGAACGCGCTGGTTTCCATCTGGCAAGGCAAAAACAAGGATGCTAGTTGCACACGCTGGTTTCCATTTGCCAAAGCCAAAACAAAGATGCTAGTTGAACACGCTGGTTTCCACTTGCCAAGGCAAAAAGCAAAGATGCTAGTTGAACACCTGGTTTCCATTTGCCAAGGCAACAACAAGGATGCTAGTTGAATACGCTGGTTTCCTTCTGCCAAGGCAACCACAAGGATGCTAATTGCACACGCTGGTTTCCATATGTCAAGGCAAAAAACAATGATGCTAGTTGGACACGCTGGTTTCCATCTGCCAATGCGAAAACAAGGATGCTAGTTGAACACTGGTTTCCATCTGCCAAGGCAAAAACAAGCATGCTAGTTGCACACGCTGGATTCCTTTTGCCGAGGCAAAAACAAGGATGCTAGTTGCACACGCTGGTTTCCCCCTGCTGAGTCAAAAACGAGGATGCTAGTTGCACACGCTTTTTTCCCCTAGCCGAAGCAAAAACAAGGATGCTAGTTGAACACGCTTGTTTCCATTTGCTAAGGCATAAACCAGGATGCTAGTTGAACACGCTGGTATCCATTTGTCAAGGTAACAAAAAAGATGCTAGTTGGACACGCTGGTTTTCATTTGTCAAGGCATAAGCGAATATGTTATTTGAACACGCTGGTTTCCTTTCGCCAAGGCAACAACAAGGATGCTAGTTGCACACGCTGGCTTCCTTGCATCGGTTAAGGCGAAAACAAGGATGCTAGTTGAACACGCTGGTTTGCATTTGTCAAGGCAACAAAGAAAAGATGCTTGTTGAACACGCTGGTGGGATTGCGTTCAGCTGCGGGAGAACGTTACAAGACTAGTCCGGGGCTGAGCTGTGGGTTTGAAATGCCTGGGTTCCAGGTTTTCTAAAACTTCATATATCATCAAGCTTGTTCCGTTCTTCGCCTCCTACGTGTTTCCACTTTTGCCGTCTCATTCGATTTTGGGTTTTCCGATGCTACGCTTCAGCCGTACTTACTGACAAAGACAAGCAATTTCTATTTATCACCTTCTTGAGGGTTTAGGGTTTGGGGTTTAGGGTTTAGGGTTTAGGGTGTAGGGTTTAGGGTTTTGGATCTAGGGTTTAAGGTTTAGGGTCTAGGGTTTAGGGTTTAGGGTTTGGGGTTTGGGGTTTAGGTTTGGGGTTAAATTAAAAGTTTAATATTCGCACCTAGGGTTTAGGAGTTAGGGTCTGGGGGTAGTTTGAAGGAGCCCCCTATCATTGGGGACATTTTTCGGGTTCAAGGTGGCTTTGCGAGGTCCTGTTTTGGAATTCGGGCTATGAATTAGATTGTCTATTTCATTATGCTGATCATGCTTAAGATTCGCACAATACAAGGCTAATATGTACGTAGGCCTTAAAGTGCCTATATACGAACCCCTTTAACTGCTAAGCTTCCTAAGTAGACTATATAATAGGTACATGGATCCTGGAACCCGCAACCCTAAAGCCCTTATAGAACCCTTAAAGGAACCCTTATCGGAACTACTATAGGCACATGGAGTCTTAGAGTGCCAGTTTGAAAATTTACCCCGTATATAGCCCCTATAGCTTGCTCCAACGAGCCCTTCAAGGAGCCTTTCAAAGGAAGCCTTAAGGTACATGGATTAGGTACTGCCCCCATACAGTAAGAGTCTATAATAGGGCTACTATTAAGGTCCTAATATATCTGTATTATGAATATTATTCAACTATTACTGAGTGCGGGCCGTACGCAACACATGGATCCTCAAGGGGTGTTTTTGGCCCATTTCCCCGAAGCTCAACAGAGGAGGCAGAGTTGACGGCGAGCGTCCGGGCCCTCGCCCGAGCTGGGCGGCACCTTTGAAGGAGTTGAATGAGGCGAGTTCCAGGGTTGAGTGTTGGGGTTAGAGCTAGCGGGTTCAGGGTTCCTTCAGGCACCTTCTCAAGGAGTTGAACGAGGCAAGTTCCAGGGTTTAGGGTTTACGGTTGAGTTTACGCGGGTTTTGGTGGGTACAGGCTAGCTAAAACCCTAAACCCCTTCAACCCTAAAACCCCAACCCTAAACCCTGAACCCTCAACCCTAAAAACCCAGACCCTAAACCCCAACCCTAAACCCTCAACCCTAAAACCCCAACCTTAAACCCTATTAAAAGCCCTTAAAAACCCTTAAAGCCCTTAATAACCTTTAAAGCCCCTAAAACCTCTTAAGCCCTTAAAAACCTGTAAACCCCAACCCTACTGTAAACCCCTAAACCCCTAAACCCTAAACCCTAAACCCCAACCCTAAACCCAAAAGCTTAATCCGTGCGAGTCTTTCGGGAGGTAGCGCCTTGCTCCCCACCAACGCAGCTGAGACAGCCGAGGTTGGGTCCTATCTCAGAGTTTCCGAAAATTAGGGGTACCCTTTTTAAGGGATCCAATAAGGGGTTCCTTTAAGGGTTCCTTTAAGGGATCTATCGGGTTTAGGGTATATGGGGGTTTCCGAAAATTGGGGGTACCTTATCTTGGGGTCCTTATAATAGGGATCCTACTATTTAGGGTATTCTATCAGGGTCCCCTATTTTCTGAAACTCCTATCTGGGAGTGGTGGTTGTCAAAATTAAGGTCCCTTTTGGGGTACCCTAAGTATTAGGTGCCGTATCATGTTAAGGACCCAAAAATGGACCGAGTTTCCTCTGAAGTTGGCTCGCCTCCAGAGAGCTTAATACTCCTTAATTCAGGAATATGGCTTAAATTATGTAGGGATTCATATTATGGTTTAAGCTATATATTCCTTATTCCTTAATTAAGGGGTATTGGGCTCTCTGGGTATGTGGGAGTTTCTGAAAAGACTGACAGACCCTTTCAGGGTTCCTTTAAGGGATCTATAAGGCTTCCATTAAGGGTTTAGTTTAGTGCTTAGGGTTGGGAGTTTCCGAAAAGACAGACCCTTTAAGGGTTCCTTTGAGGGATCTATAAGGGTTCTATTAAGGGTTTAGGGTTCAGGGTTGGGCGTTTCCGAACATGGGGCCCTAATATAGTAGTACCCTAAATAGCAGGATCCTTATAATAAGCACCCCAAAATGAGGTACCCTTCGTTTTCGGAAACTCCCATTTCAGTATCGAGGGTTACAAGTAAGGCGTATGACCCCGATTAAGGCTAAGGTACTTGTCATCTTACGTACTAAGTCCAATGATCCTGCAAGTATACGGGACCCAGCAACGATTCTATGAGCTCATGTGTGTTGTTTAATGTTTATGTGCTGTTGTAAGTATGTGGAAACTCTTTATCTAAGATTGGCCACGGGCTTATCAAGCTTACGCCTACAGTGGGGCGCATAGGTCTTGGGCACGGATCCTCGTAACATAGAAGCTTGCCTAAGTAGGTTAGGAATACTTTTCCTTAGGATTCTTTCTAAGTAAAGTAACTGCCCTAAGGCCCCAAAGTAGTTTCGTTTCGGGGTTCATATATAGAATCCTATAAGGTAATCCCCAAAACGAACTACTACTACTACTACTACTACTACTACTACTACTACTACTACTACTACTACTACTACTACTACTACTACTACTACTACTACTACTACTACTACTACTACTACTACTACTACTACTACTACTACTACTACTCTTACTACTACTACTACTACTACTACTACTACTACTACTACTACTACTACTACTACTACTACTACTACTACTACTACTACTACTACTACTACTACTACTACTACTACTACTACTACTACTACTACTACTACTACTATGGGGCCTATGGCGAAGGCAAAGCAGCCCAGTTCGCATCGTGGCACCTTGGATGCGGCTTGTGACCCTAAACCCTAAACTAAACCCCTCAACCCTAAACCCCTCAACCCTAAACCCCCCTAAACCCTAAACCCCTCAACCCTAAACCCCCCCAACCCTAAACCCCTAAACCCTAAACCCCTAAACCCTAAACCCCTAAACTAAACCCCTAAACCCTGAACCCTGGGTCTCCAGGTGGTACATCTTTCGGGGCCTGGGTTTAGCTTATAAGGTTTTGGGGGTTTAGAGTTAAGGATTTAGGGGTTTAGAGTCCAGGGCCTAGGGTTTGGGGGTTTAGGGTTTAGGGTTTGTGGGTTTCGGGTTTAAAGTCTTGGGTTTGGGGGTTTAGGGTTTTTCAGGCTGACTCTTCAGGTTCTCGGCCCTTCCTATCCCGTAATATGCATTTGGGTTCCTTTAAAGGGATCCTTTAAGGGTTCCTATAAGGGATCTATGGGGTTTAGGGTTTTGGGAGCTTCCGGTTTGTCATATGGGTGGTTGTCCCTTTTTTGGATACCCTAAATAATCGGTGCCGTATTCTAGGAACGGTTTAGGGTTTAGGGATTAGGGTTTAGGGGTAAATTATAATGGGATCAAAAAGAGACCATAATTTTGACAACCATCTATATGCATGTATGGCAATTGTAGGCTAGGCACTGTCATGCAGCAGAAGTGGTTTCCGCATACAAAGAAAGTTCACAGTAAACTGTTATAAGGATCTGAATTCTCATTGCCACGATCATGTCCACATAGTACCTATATGAGTTTACCATTGTAGAGTGTAGTATGCCCCGAAACTCTTTTGGAATCAGGAAGGCCCCTATCCCCCAAAACCCCGGAACCTCCACGCCCTGACAGACCATTAAGGAAGCCACCCTAAACCTTAAACCCTAAGCCCTCAAAGAACCCCATATGCTGCTGACTGGACTCCTGCTGTATTCCCGGTGTTTGCCATGGCCACTTCAGAGCCCAAGTCACAACTTGAGACCCGATATGCGAAAGCATATAAGCAGCTTTAGGAATCTTTATATTTTCAGTAGGGGTCTCGCGGAGCCTCTGGTGAAGTCCATCCAAACCAAACCTCCAAACCCATGGCCCTGAAGCCGAACCCCAAAGCACCCCCGTGACCTACCCGTGACCGTAACTGCCCACGGCTCCCCATTGCCTAAACATGAAGTTGGTCAGCCATAAGAAGAGCTGCAGTGGAGACTGTAAGCAGGATTTCCTTTTCGACTTCAATGGATCTTGATACGTTTAGGGGTTGTATTGGTGAGTCTGTAGGGGTTCTCCGGAAATTCACAGATCCACGTACTCCACTTCATGTAATGAAGTGTACTGAAGTGAACTAGACAAGGCACTTCATATTACATGCACCGGAGTCAAACAGACCCCCTTTCCCCCAAACCTGAAACCCGAAACCCCTTAGTCTGCAAGACACATGTCCTTGCACACCGCCTCAATCCCGAGGCTTGTCGAGAGCATTTCTCCCTTCCGCACCACACAGATCGCAAAAAACACAGTAGGAATACTTCCCTAGAGTTTCCATTGTATTTCCTTTTTTAGGTACCTTGAAGGATCCTCTTTGACAGAACTGGTCAAGCCCTCCAAAAAAAGGATTGCGATGGAGACAAAAGATAAACCAACTAACCCTAGCGATCAAAATAGCCCAAAAGCCTTATGTAGTATGGCTTTTCAGCCCAAAAGCCTTAATATGTGAGTCCTTAGATCCCTAAACCATGTAGATCCCTCTTTCGGACCCCTTATAGATCCCTTTAAAGGAACCCTATATGAGTCCTTAGATCCCTAGGGTAACACCTCCAGGCCCCTCCGGCAGACTCTCAAGCACGTCCGCGGTCGACGTCGTCGCACCGACGGGCCAAGGAGTATCGGGTGGAGGCCTGGGGCTTTGCTGAGTTTTCTAAGAATGATCATGGGACTTAGTAACTAGGGTTATAAACAAGGTAGCTATACTCATCACCCCACTTTCTAAGTCCTTTGAGCCTTCTAGGCTTTGAAGCCGTGCGTCTTTCAGTACTTCAGGGTCTAACCTACACTCCCAAACCCTAAGCTAACCCGCCACCCCCTCCCTCGTACTCTCAACCCAACGCACGGAGCCGAGGTGATCTCGGATGCCCGAGTGCACGAGCTCACGGGTGAGAAGGTCTCGCGCGAGAAGAAGAGTGCGAAATGCCCTCCTAGTCCCGCCTTGCTGCTCTACCCGGGCTTTGACGAAGAAGAGGAGGCGGATGAGGACTCCTAGGGTTTAGGGCTTGGGGTTTAGGGTTCAGGGGGTTTAGGGTTCAGGATTTTGGGTTTGGGGGTTGTAGGGCTTATAGGGTTTAAGGGTCAGGGTTTAGGGTTTTGTGTCCAGACTCCAAGGGTAAAAGGAGGGACCCTTAATAAGGACCCCTAGGTATATACCTATCATACCCCCATTATATAGCTCATTATATTCTAAACCCTAAACCCTAAGCCCTCAATGTAGCCCCTCATAGTAGTGCTTCTAGACCCCTTTAAAGGAACCCTCTTCCCTATGGGTAGGGGTCCCCATTAAGGGTCCCTCCTTTTCCCCTTTGATCTTCGGGTCGACGAAGTCACGGGATCGTGCTTATGACCCCTGCCCTGACTCGGCACCTTGGGGTTCCTTCAAAGGGTTACAGAAAGAGTACTATAAGGGTTCCTGTAAAGGGCTCTATAGGGGTTGGGAGTTTCTGAACATTAGGGGTGTTTTATGTTTGGTTTATTTTTGGGTTTGTTTTTGTGGATCCTACTATTTAGGCTGCTATATTAGGGTCCCCCATTTTCGGAAACTACGGTTGATGATATAAATCCTGCATTACCCATAATAATAAGGAATATACCATAATTCCCATAGTTTAGGGCCCTTAAGGTCATGCAGGATTTATATCATCAACCGTACCATATTTCTTTCGCATGCCAGAACACGGCGCCTCTATAATCCGGAACCCATGAATTTCTAGACTCTAGACCCTACTTAAAGGATCATGGGACGCAGCAACTAGGGTTATATATTAGGGTATCTATACTTATAACTACTTATAACCCTAATTAATGTACTTATAACCTTACTTACTAAGTCCCATGATCCTCCAAGTACAAACTAAACACCTAGCGGGTTGCAAGTCGGTGCGACGTTATAGTCCATATATAGCTCGTAGAAAATAGCACCCGCCCCTCTCCCCCGAAGCCCTTCTAATGATTAATCAAGGCACGTACATCGAGAATTTCCAGGCTCTGAAAAACAAAAGCACTCTGAGTAAACCCTAAGACCTAAAGCCGTAAAAAACCTAAATCCCACAGCTCCCTTAAGGGAACGCCCATAGATCCGTTTAAAGGAACCCCCCTAGATCCTTAAAGGAACCCCCAAAAGGGCCCAAGCCCCAGAGGATTACGAAGTGGAGGATGCCCTGCTGACTGGCCTCGCTGGCCTCAACGACGGCCTGAACCTGGGTTCTTGTAATAGGGATTTCGGGGTTAGAGGATTTAAATTAAGCTACCGCAATAAAGAAGCCATATTAACTTCAGGTTTAGGGGTTTGTGTTGTGTTTGTTTTTTTTTGTTGCCGGGTTTTCGTGGGTTAAGGCCTTTAGTTTAAGCTACCGTACTAAGGCAACCTTATTGTTTACTATAGATCCCTATTATGGTAACTTCAACCTCAAACTCCTATATCCTTAAAGGAACCCTTATAGATCCCTTTAAAGGAACCCTTACCCCTAAACCCTAAACCCTAAACCCTTATCCCTAAACCCAAAACCCTAAAACCTAAACCCTTATCCCTAAACCCTAAACCCTAACCTGCTATGGTGACTTAAACTAGATTCCTTAATAAGAACCCTTACAGATCCTTTTAAAGGAACCATTGTAGATCCCTGCTATGGTAGCTTAGACTAAAGTCCTTGACAAGAAGCCCAGGAACGATGTCTCCGAGTCGAGCGATGAGTCGGAGATCCGCGACCGGCTCCGGGGTCCTTTTTTACAGGGAGGGTCCTTTAAGGGATCCTTTTAAAGGCTCCTTTATGGGATCCTTGAAGGGTTCCTTTTCGGATTCCTTTAAGGGATCCTTTTGAGGGCTCCTTTATGGATCCTTGAAGGATCCTTTTTTTAAAGGGAGGGTCCTTTAAGGGATCCTTTATGGGATCCTTGAAGGGTCCTTTTTTTAGGGATTCCTTTATGGGATCCTTTTAAGGGATCCTCTATGGGATGGTTTAAGGGTTCCTTTAAGGGTTCCTTTAAGGGCTCGTTTAAGGGATCCTACAAGAGCTCCTTTAAGGGATACCTGTGGCCAAGCAAGCCGGCTTTCTTCAGATCTTCAGGAAGTGCACATCGAAACCATACAAGGAACACCAAGAAGGTAGATTTTTTCGGCTACATGTAGGATTTAGGGCCCTTTTGAGGAATAGCTTAGGGGCTCAGGTTTAGGGCCTATTGTTTGGGGTTGATGGTTTCGGCTTTAGGTATGAGGGTTTTAGGGTTTGGGCTTTTTGGTTCAGGGTTTAGGAATCGGAAATTTTGGACTTGGGCTTATGAGGTGTTTAAGGGCTTATACGGGTCAAGGGTTGGATCCTTGTTGTAGGTTGTAAGGGCTTTAGAAGGGTTTTGTGTATGGTTGTACGCGGGCTCTATGGGGCATATAAGAAATTGGTGTAAAGCATGCTTGAAACAACCAGCTGTCCAAGTTGGTTCATGACACTTTGACAGGGCCCTTGTCAAGTAACGAAAAAGTTGCCCCAATAGCTCGAGAAGTAGTAGCCATGAGTGGGTTTAGGGTTTAGGGTTAGTTCTTTAACCCCAAACATTAAATCAGTTCTAAGTCTCAAACCCCAAAAAGCCTGAACCCCAAAACCGAAACCGCCTAAACCTTTAAACCCAAAACCTAAACCCTAAGCCCCACAGCCTTTACTCCCAAACCCTGAAACCCTATAGCTCCGTTATAGAACCCGTATATACCCCTTAGCGAGCCCTTGCAGATCCGGTTAAAGGAACCCTGGAACCCTAACCCCTCAATCCCCCTTATCAACCCCAAGCTCCCCTTTTGACCCTTGTTATAGAGCCCTTTATAGTTATAGATCCCTTAAAGGAACCCTAAACCCCTAAAGCCCTAAACCCCTAAACCCCTAAACCCCTAAACCCTAAACCCCTAAACTCTAAACCCCTAAGCTCCTAGACCCCTAAAGCCTTAAACCCTAAACCCTAAACGCTAAACCCCTAAACTCTAAACCCCTAAGCCCCCGAAGCCCTAAACCCCTAACTCCCTAAATCCTAAACCCTAAACCCCTAAACCCCTCAAGCCCTAAACGCCCAAGAGCGCCGGCGTCGAGAGAAGGCTGAAGCAGCGGCTGCAGCTAACTGGGAAGCCGAAGCCCTCCAGTCCACCACATCCCAAGGGACGGGAGCCTTGGCGGATGTTAGGGGGGTTTACGGGTTTAGGGTTTAGAGTTTAGGGTTTAGAGTTTAAGGTTTAGGGTTTAGGGGTTTAGGGTTTAGAATTTAGGGGCTTAGGGTTTAGGGTTTTAGGGGCTTAGGGTTTAGGGGCTTAGGGGTTTAGGGTTTAGGGTTTAGGGGTTTAGGGGTTTAGGGTTTAGGGTTTAGGGTTTAGGGTTTAGGGTTTTAGGGGCTTAGGGTTTAGGGTCTTAGGGTTTAGGGGTTTCGGGGTTCAGGGTTCAGGGGTTTAGGGGGTTTAGGGTTTAGGGTTTAGGGGTTTAGGGTTTAGGGGTTACCCTGGGCATCAAGATAGCCCAAAAGGGACAGGAGACTTGGGAGAATGTTACGGGTTAGGGCCTAAAATATAGAAGCGCTCATAGCATCCGAACCCTAAGAAGAAATTTTGGGGACGGGAGACTTGGAGGATGTTACGATTTAGGGCTTTAGGATATAGGGTTTAGGGCTTTCGGATAGAGGGTTTGGGGTTTAGGGGCTACCCTGGGCATCAAAATAGCCCAAAAGCCGTATACAGCATGGTCTTGGGGCCCAAAAGCCTTAATATATGAGTCCTTAGATGCCTAGGGTTAAAACACTTAAGTCCTAAACCCTAAACGCCAAATCCCAAACCCTCAACCCTAAACCGAAATGCTAAGCCCTACACCCCAAACCCTAAACACTAAACCCCAAATTCTAAACACTCAACCTTCATCCAGAAATCGACATGCTGAACTTTAAACAAAAAACCACACCAAAATCCTAAACCCTAAACCCTGAAACCCCACACCCCAAACCCACATGCACCCTAAACCCTAAACGCTGAAACCCTAAACCCTAAGCCCCTAAAGCCCTAAACCTTATAGATTCTGTTATAGATCCCTTTGAAGGAACCCTATAGATCCCTTTAAAAGAGCCTGAAACCATCAAAGCCTCAGGAGACGGCCCGAGGATCCCAAGCCCCGCATCCTGGCGCCCATGGGCATCCGCCCCCGCATAGACGAGGGCGCGAGCGATAAATTCGTGAGCATCACCTTGAAAAGGTTTACCCTAAGGGTCCAAGTAGTTCCTATTTATGGTTTTGGGTACCTAAAAAGGCCCCAAAGTCCTATAATAGGGAGCACTTGGACCCTCTGGGTTAGGGTTTAGGGGTTTTAGGAATTTCAGGGGGTTAAGGTTTAGAGTTTTAGGGCTATAGGGCTTTAGGTTTTTGTTTGGCTGCGGTGGTTTCAAAATTAGGGTTTAGAGCTGAGCTTTACGGCTTCAGGGTTTTAGGGTTTAGGGTTTAGAGTGAAATTCGTGCATCTTGCCGTGATCGGACCAGTGCTGACTTAGAGCCGCGAGCGGGCGAAAACGGGAGTCAGCGATGTCCTCGATCGATGAGGTGGTCATAGACTCTGAGGGTTTATGGGTTGAGGCGGTTTAGGGTTGAGGGTTCTTGAATCTGAAAGATGCACCCTGAACCTTAACCGTTAACCCCTAATTCCGGAAACCCCAACCGGGTCTTAAAGGAATTAGCAACCTGTTGAACCCTAAAACGTCAGCCCTAAACCCCAAACCCTAAATCCTAAATCCTAAACCATAAACCCCTCCGATAGATCCCGAAATCCTAAACCCTAAACCCTAAGCTCCTTATTTAAGCCTCATGGGTCCCTTTAATGAACCCCTAAGGCCTAACCCCTCTACCTGTCTCCCTTGCAGACATCGAGACTCTGAAGCGGGCCGGTGGCTGAGATGCTCGCACGTCTACTGAGGGGTTCGGGGGTTTAGGGTTTAGGGTTCAGGGCTCCTGTAAATGGATCTATATGGGATCTATAAGGGATCTATAAGTGATCTAAAAGTGAGCTATAGGGCTTCAGGGTTTAGGGTTTTGCGTTCAGGGCTTCAGTGGTTTAGGGTTCTTTTAAAAGGATCTATAGGGTTTTGAGCTTAGGGCTTCAGGGGTTCCGGGTTCCTTTAAAGGGATCTACAAGGGTTCTATAAGAAGGATCTATAGGGTTTTGGGTTTTGGGCTAGGGTTCCCAGGTTCTCTAAACGGATTTGGTGTTTAGGGATTAGAGTCTAGGGTTTAGAGAGGGTGCACGGGTTCTCTAAACGGATTTGGGGTTTAGGGATTAGGGTTTAGCATTTAGGGTTTAGGTTTAGGCTTTTCGGGTTTAGGGCTTAGGTCTAGGCTCCAAACAACGGCGCAAGGGTTTGGTTTCATGTGCACTTCTGTTGCTTCCACAGCATTGCGTCAGGATCAGGCGGCGTAGTGGCGTTGTGACATAAGCCGGTACAGCTGCAGTTGACGTTAAGCACAAGCCAGGAATCATCATGTTGCTCAGGGTCCATACAGCCATGTAGTATATGTTTTGACCCCCAGGCAATTCTGAAGGAACTCCTGTACTTTCTAGGTACATGACATGCGCGCCATAGCACCATAGCTTAGTAACCCCAAACCCTAAAACCATCCTAAACCCCACAGTTTAGTAACCCAAAACCCTAAACCATCCTAAACCCCATAGTTCAGTAAACCCAAAACCCTAAACCATCCTAAACCTTACAACCCTTACCAGGCAGGGCTTCTTTAAGTCTTACCCCCCATCTACCTGGGTTTTAGGGACTTGGTGCAGGGGCCCTAAACCCTAAACCCTGAACCCTACACCCTACACCCTAAACCCTAAACCCTGAACCCTACACCCTACACCATAAACCCTAAACCCTAAACCCTGAACCCTACACCCTACACCCTAAACCCTAAACCCTGCATACGTTCTCTTCGGGCCCCAAACCATGAGCCCTTTTCATACCCTAAGGCTCTACCTTTGGGGTTTTGGGGTTTAGGGTTTAGGGTTTAGGGCTTTTAGGGCTTTTAGGGTTTGGGGTATTAAGGTTTACCTAAATCCCCCAAAGTAGGTAGAATAATGGCCCAAAACCTTTGAAAGGCTGTTATTCTACATACTTTTGGGGTCGAGGTAAGGACTTACATTATATATAAGGCTTCTGGGCCCAAAGACCATACTTCATACGGCTTTTGGGTCACTTGGAGCCTCAAGGATAGGTTTCATTGGGTTCTTACCCGAACCCTCAAAGTATAGCAGGGCCGAACGCCTACGCATGAAATGGCTATTATTCTACATACTTTGGGGGTTCAGGCGAGGTTCATGATCACAGCACAAGTCTTCACAAACTGCCGCAGCCGCTACTTGGAGGGGCAGGGGACTTAGTAAGTAGGATACAAGTAGAGTTATAAGTATCCTAAATGGAGTTACCCCGATTATAACCCTACTTATAAACGACTTCCTAAGTCCGCTGCCCCTCCAAGTAGTCAACCATGGGACCGCCGAAGAACCCCCTGAGTGATTAATCGTTGTCCTCTGATTTGGATTAGGGCCCCGAAGAACTGGGGGGGGGGGGGGGCTAATCATTTCTTAGGCTTCTTTGTGTCGATTTTGGGTTGCTGATGCTCATTTGTGATTGCCCATAACCTACCTATGCTGTAGACAAGTTCTAGACTTCAGAGTTCGTTTTCTGCGAGCTGTTGTTCACCTTTCGGTGTGCCTTTTCTGTGCCCACCGTTCCGCCAGGGAACGAGCAGAAGCACACAAAATCCTGAAACACAAAGCTTGCGCAAGGATTCAATCTGCAAGCAACGTCTCTAAGCCCTAAACCCGAAACCACACTTTCTGGATGAGGTAGCTATTTATTCTAGACCGCATCAAAATTCATGCATTGCTGTCTCCACAAGCCCCCGGCATCAAAACTCTAAGCCCTAACACCTCACACAGTAAACCTCCCGAATAAAGTTAAAATATAATATCGGGCCATGTACTAATCGTCAAGGCCCCTACGTGTTACAGCCCCCGATGAGCAAATGAGAATCTACATTTCCTTCCACCAAATACCTTACCCCATGCACAAAACCCCCTACCCTAAACCCTGAACCCTGAACCCTAAACCCTAAACCCTGAACTACATCGCAACCCGATTCCTCCAAGGCACTGGAGGAGCGAGATGGAGAGTGCCGGGCTTTGCGCGCAGCGCCCGGGGCCCTGCCTCTGCCTCCGTGGATCAGCGGACTTAGCAAGTCAGATACGCAGGGAGTTTTTTTAGACTCTACCTAAACCCCCAAATGTAGGTGACACATTTGCCCAACACCTATAAATAAAGAGCTAATTTTCTACATACTTTTTTGGGGGTTCCAGGTAAGCCCTAAAACGGCCGTTTTGCTCTCTAAAGCGTAAACCCCTTAGTCGGTCCGGCCAGAGAATCCAGTTCCTGAGTTTCAGGTTTGGGATTTAAGGTTTGGGGTTTTCGGTTTGAGGGTTTAGGGTTTCGGGATTTACGGTTTGGAGTTTGGGGTTTTAGGATTGAGGGTTTAGGGTTTAGGACTTAAGGTTTAGGGTTTGGAGGTGTCGGTTTGAGGATTGGTTGGCCTTCAACTGGTCCTCGGGGATCCGACCGACCAGAAGTACTCTACCTCAAACCCCAAAGCCGTGGCAACCCACAGCCCTAAACCCTAAAATCTTCGTAGGAAAACTTATTATGCTAACCCTGCTGATAAGACGTATCAGCCTTTATGAACTGGCCCTCAACCCCTATCCCTCAACCCTTAAACCCTAAACCTCGAACCGTGAACCCTAAAACCCCTAAACCCCGAAACCCCTAAACCCCAAACCCCTAAACCCTAAACCCTAAACCCTAAACCTAAAACCCTAAAACCCTAAACCCCTAAAACCCTAAACCTTATAGATTCTGTTGTAGATCCCTTTAAAGGAACCCTATAGATCCCTTTAAAAGAGCCCTAACCCTAACCGAGACCCACACCGAGGCTCGCTGCACCCCGGCCCGCCCCGAGACCCACTCGGCCGGCGCCGGTGCGCGCTCGAGATGGGAGGGTTGGGACTTGAGGGTTCAATAGGGTTCCCTTTAAAGGGTACCTTTCTGGGATACTAGAAGGGTACTTTAATCAAGGGTTTAATGTATAATTAGAATAGGGGTTCCTTTTAAAGGGCTCTATATAAGGGCTACTGTAAGGGTACTTTAAGGGTTTAATATAGGAGCCTTAATAATCAGAATGGGGGTTCCCTTTAAAGGGCTCTATATATGAGGGATGCTATAAGGGTACTGTAATATAGGAGCCTTAATAATTAGAACAGTGCTTTGGGGGAGAGAATACTATAATTATACCAAGCCCCTCAAAAAAAGTGCAGGTAACTATTAAGGCTATTAAGGCATCTATATTAGGGCTTTTGCGGTTTCAGGTTTAGAGCATTGGGTATGTGTAGGTTCTACAAGGGTTCTGCAAAGGTCGTATGAATACAGGTTCTGTGGAGGGTTGCGAGGATTTTGGGCTTCAGGGCTTCTGATTGGGGTATACAGGTTCTACACGGAGGTTCTGAAGGTTTGTAAGGTGTATTGAAGACTCCGGCTGAAGAACTGTCTAGGTTTCGCAAGGGAGGGTTAGATAAGGCTGCCATACATCCTTTACAGGGTCAAAGAGCTGAGTGGGTAGGTTAACTACAGGTGAGATTTTCGGCTGTAGGGATTAAAGCTGTCAGGGCCTCTCTTCGGGTTTCAGTACTGCACTGGAACAGCATCTGTGTAGGTGTGTGCATACCTTTCGGGTTGACAGATACCTTTGGGCTTTGATGTCGAGCTTCCTGGTGGGCTGGCTTGCTTAGAAAGGCAAGCAAGCGACTCACGAAGTTGGGCCTCTTATCGATTGTACTTGGAGGATCATGGGACTTAGTAAGTAAGGTTATAAGTACCTTGATTGGGTTTATATGTAGTTACCAGTATAGTTACATTAATTGTAACCCGAGTTACTAAGTCCCATGATCCTTTAAGTACGTGGTTTGGAAGAAGGCTCGGCTTGACATGGCTGTGCATGGCTTTGTGGGATGAGCCTGGGTAGCACGGAAGCGGGCCGCAGTTGATTGATCGAACCTGTTAGAAGCATCCTGGTCGAGGTTACCTTACGGGTCCAAGTGCCTAACTATCATATACTGTACTCTCCAAAATGATAACCTACATA